CTATATTACTAACGCGTAGTGTGTCGATCCCCCGCTCACTCGATCGCCTGCTCAAGCATCACATACAGCAAATCAGCTGCCAGGCCTAAGCAGCAAGGGAGAAGAAGAGCACCCCCGCCGCGCAGGCAGCAAGCCGCAAGAGCCTAAAATTTCAACGCTGATATTATCGACGGCTGGTGAGCTTTCAAAAGGAGGCCGAGCCAACGAGAGAAAGCGGCAGCACCGCGCGCAAGCAACCACCAAGGCGATTATGTGACGGGCGCGACGCAGCTGCTACAAATTAGAATGCGCCACAAAAATAAATCCAAACTTCAGCTAGAAAAGCACGAAGCGGAAGAAAGAAGGTGAAACTTCCGCTGTCTTTGGCTTGCTCAGCAACTTATAGCGGAAAATTCATGCCCGATAACAACTCGCCTACTTCGTACATGGCCTGGGGGCTGCCACCAGCACTAAAGCTTCCATCTTCCCATAATTCAAAGTTAATTCCAATTCGGCACCATTCCCCTTTTTCTTGATTCTGCCAATCAGCCTATTCCCTTTTGCTCGTGAGCGCGTATCAGAGCGCTCATAGATAACCAAAACCCCAGGATCCACCACTTTCCCTTGGCCTAGCGACGCCACATCTATCAACAGCGTGTGATGGTTATTATCCTCGGTAGCTTCACATGTTTTCTTTTGTGTTGATGAAGGATTTAGTGGGCCGCACGCATAAATCGTTCAATCATGTATCAGTTCATTCTTGATGCATTATTTTCTTTGGCGTTGTGGCTCTTTTGCTCAAAGCAAGTTGGTTGTGCCCCTTATCAGTAGTAACCCTCCCCACATACGGCGACGAAGCGCATGACCCCCCCTTCCCCCCCCCAGACTTTTGCTATCTTATCCTCCGCGAGGCATTGACTAATTAATTCTATTTGGCAGATAACACAGCATTGGATTTGGTCGCAAATGTATCGGGCGATGTCGGCGCATGCTTTCATGGCTTTCTTGTGCGGCGGTTGCACAAGACGTGCTCAATGGTCGGCTCGTCGCCGGGAGGAACCTTATCTCTCGGCGGCAGCGTACATATATATAAGAATAGGCCCCTAAAGGTGAAATTGGCAAAGGAAATAAACTTAATTTTTTGCTCTCAAGATATCAGATTGCTGGTGAATATTGTCGAAAATGACACAGACGGTGCCTCCAGCGCTGAGCCAGGGCTATGGCTATGGCATTATCCTCGGTGTTGGTTTTGCCTTTGCCATCTTCATGGTACGAATATCTCGTCTTCCTTGTACATCAAACCAATGCTAACCGCACTAGATTACCCTCACACATATCCTCAAGCGATACAACAATGAAGTCGTGACTTCGGAAATGTTCACCACGGCCGGCCGCACCATGAAGTCGGGCCTCGTCGCTTCCGCCGTCGTCTCCTCGTGGACATGGGCGGCTACCCTGCTCCAAAGCTCGGGCGTCTGCTATCGCTACGGTGTGTCCGGCCCCTTCTGGTACGCCTCGGGCGCGACGGTGCAAATCCTGCTCTTTGCCACGCTGGCCATCACCCTGAAGCGGCGCGCCCCCAACGCCCACACCTTTCTCGAGGCCGTCAAGGCCCGCTACGGCACGGCCACGCACTTTATCTTTATCCTCTACGGCGTCATGACAAACGTCCTCGTGTCGCTGATGCTCATTGCCGGCGGTGCGGCCACTATCAACGCTCTCACGGGCGTAAACGCCGTCGCGGCCATCTTCCTCATGCCCATCCCCGTCGTGGCTTACACCTTTATCGGTGGCCTCAAGGCAACCTTTATCACTGATTATATCCACGGCCTGGCGGTACTCATTATCATCATCACGTTTTGCTTGACGGCGTATGCCACGTCGGATGTCTTGGGCAGCCCCTCGGTTGTGTACGACTTACTCGTCAAGGCCGCCGAAGCTCACCCCGTTGCCGGCAACGAAGGCGGAAGCTACCTCACCATGCGTTCGTCTGGAGGCATCACCTTTTTCATCATCAACATTGTTGGCAACTTTGGCACCGTCTTCCTGGACAATGGCTACTTTAACAAGGCCATTGCTGCCCACCCAGCGCACGCGCTGCCTGGTTATATCATCGGAGGTCTCGCCTGGCTGCCAATTCCGCTTGTGACGGCCACGACCCTTGGTCTCTCGGCGCTGGCCCTGGAGTCGAGCCCCCGCTTCCCAACTTTCCCTGACCGCATGAGCGAAGCAGACGTGTCTGCTGGTCTGGCACTTCCATACGCTGCCGTTGCCTTGCTCGGCAAAGGCGGCGCTGCTGCCACGCTGGTCATGATCTTCCTTGCAGTGACTTCCTCATTCAACTCTGAGCTGGTCGCGACGTCCTCCATCTTCACCTACGACATCTATCGCACGTATTTCCGTCCCAACGCCGGCGGCAAGAGCCTGATTTGGATTTCGCACATGTGCATGGTTGTCTATGCCCTCATCATTTGCTGCATCTCGGTCGGACTGTGGTTCAATGGCATCTCCATGGGCTACTTGTATCTGCTCATGGGTGTCCTCATCTCTGCCGCCGTCATTCCCGCTACACTCACGTTGCTCTGGGACGGCCAAAATAAATGGGCGGCCATGCTCTCGCCCATTTTCGGCTCTGCATGTGCCATTACGGCCTGGCTGGTCACGTCCAAGAAGTCATGCGGCGCACTCTCGATTGAATGCACCGGTTCCAATACGCCAATGCTGGCGGGCAATGTCACGGCATTGTTTGCCCCCTTGGTTTTTATCTCACTTTCGACCATTGTCTTTGGCTTTGACAAGTACAACTGGAAATCCATGGGCCTCATTCGACAGGCCGATGACCACGAGCTCATTGTAGACTCTGGGCTGGATGAGGAGGCACAAAGAGAGGCAGAACGCCGAGTCACGGTTAGTCAAGAGGAAGAAAACGAAAAGCTGTCTCGCGCATTCAAGATCGCCGTCACAGTCACCACCGTATTGTAAGTCTCTGATCCCAATTCCCTTTGATTCGACGCTAACCCTTACTCAGGGCGGTTTCGCTACTGGTCCTCTGGCCAATGCCAATGTATGGCTCGCGATACATTTTCTCAAAGAATTTCTTCACAGGCTGGGTGTCTGTTGGCATTGCCTGGATATTCCTGTCGTTGCTTGCCGTCGGCGTGTACCCTGTCTGGGAAAGCAGAGAGACACTGATCAAGGTGACGACCATGATTCTGAGAGGAGGTCGTCTGCCAAAGAAGCGGGTTATAGATGGCGAGGCAGTAAAGGCTGAGGAGACCAGTGGATCTGTGACGCCTGTTCGGGCGGAGCCCATGGCGAAAAAGCAATAATAACGTAAATATGAAGTTGTGATACTCACTGGCAGACTGAACTAAAATAGGGGGCTGGATTTCCATTGCTGTGAGGAGAAAAAAAGGTGAAATAGACGAGTTCTTTACACGCTTTAAATCATTTTACATCTTTTAGATCATTTTACAAAACAGAACGCAAGAAGCAAAAAAGGAATCGCAAATCTGCGAACCAGGCTGCCCAGTATGAGAATCGAACTCATGATCTTCTCATTTCACCGTATAAATACTAGTGAGACGCTATACCACTTAGCCAACCGGGCTCTCCTTGAAGGTGGGTGCCATATTATGGACTATGAGCTAGGACATTAGATCCTCTCCTGCACAATTAAGTCCTGACCATGACCGTGTTCGGCGCGACTGGAACCTCGCTGATCCTACCACAGTGTACGATCTCAGCCGCCGCGCTAGTCCAGCCCATGATCGAGACTTTTTTCATCGTGCAAATATCAAATTACCTAACCATCAGTCATTCGCTGCTCGACCGCCTCTTCGATCGATCCCGCCACTGCCCATTGGCCCACTTGCGGCAAACCTTGTACCATAATGAAGCAAAGCTATAGTCTCTATTTCAAACGATGGCGACTTTTGGACTAAGCCTTATCAGCTTGAGAAGCCCCGCCGTACGCCGGGCTTCTTGACGAAAACAGCTGAGAAATGCGACCACCCGGGCTCTGACCTCCAAGCTGCATCCAAAAAAGCCGCTGGTAGACGGCGGCGACCTTGACATTCATACTTTCACGAATAAGAAATCGAAGACATCAGGAGAGAGTTCAAAATGCACCCTGCAGTTGTCGCCGCCATGCAGGGCCAGACAGACGACGGCGTTGCCTTCCGCGCTCGGCCGAACCACGTCCACCGCACCTGGGCGCGCACCTTTTCCTCGATGCCCGAGCTCTATATCCAGCCGCAGACACTCGAAGAGGTGGAAAAGGTGGTCAACCTCGCGCGGCTCTGCCGCCGGCGCATCGTCACCACAGGCTGTGGCCACTCGCCGTCGCATATTACCTGCACCTCGAGCTGGATGGTGAACCTCGACCACTTTAACCAGATCCGCTCCGTCGACGCGCAGACCGGCCTCGTGGTCATGGAGAGCGGCATACGCCTGTACGCGCTTTGCGCGGCGCTCGAGGGCCACGGCCTCGCCATGCCCAACCTCGGCAGCATCAACGAGCAGTCGATTGCGGGCGCCATCTCGACCGGCACGCACGGCAGCAGCGCGGCTCACGGCCTCATGTCCGAGGACGTGGTCGCGCTCAAAATCACGCTTGCCAGCGGCAAGACCGAGTCTTGCTCGGCCACGGCCAACCCGGACCTGTTTCGCGCCGCGCTGCTGTCGCTCGGCTCTCTCGGCATCATCACCGAGATCACGCTGCGCGCCGTGCCGGCTTTTACCCTCCGCTGGCAGCAGACGGTTGACTCTGACCGCACGATGCTTGCGTCGTGGGATGGCGCCCTGTGGAAGCAGACCGAGTTTGTGCGTGTGTGGTGGTTCCCGTATACCCGGCGCTCCGTTGTCTGGAAGGCCGAGAAGACCGACGAGCCGCACCGCGATCCGCCCGTAAGCTACTATGACGGCTCACTGGGCTACTATGTATACCATAATCTGCTTTATCTCGCGCAGTTTGTACCGCGCACCCTGCCGTGGGTAGAGTGGTTCGTGTTTGGCATGCAATACGGCTTTGCCAACGGCTCGTCCACCAGCGCCGTGCAGCCCAGTCGCAAAGCGCTGCTCATGAACTGCCTGTACTCGCAATTCGTCAACGAGTGGGCGCTTCCTCTTTCCAAGGGCCCCGAGGCCCTGCGACGACTGAGCTCCTGGCTCAACCATCTGACTCCCAACGATCCCGACTACGTCCCGCACAACATTCCATTCTCAGCCGACGGCCTTTATGTGCATGCGCCAATGGAAGTCCGTATCAGCGACACGAGCCTCACTAGCAATGTGCGCCCCTTTCTCGACCCGACTGTGGAAGACGGCCCGACACTCTATCTCAATGCCACGCTGTACCGCCCGTACTGGCGCGATCCGCCCTGTCGTGCGCGTTACTATGAGGCGTTTGAGTGGCTGATGAAGGACATGGGCGGACGACCGCACTGGGCCAAGAACTTTGATACCGAGCAGGCGGATATAGAGGCCTTTTATGGTGAGAGCCTCGACAAGTTCAGGCGCGTTCGCGACGAAGCGGACCCAGAGGGCATGTTTGTTGGCGCCTGGCACAGGGAAAAGATTCTCGCTAGAGGAGACAAGCTCGCTCTCGAGGAGACGGAAACGTCTAGAGAAGAGATATCCAGCGGCGGATTGATGACTTTTGGACAAATATAGACTGCTTTATGAGACTTCGGGGTTGGGGGCTTTAATGTACATATTAGCGGGCGCGTCAGACTATCTTTTACGACTAGACTTAGCATGCACTGCAGTGCTATACACAGCAATGTTTACCACTCGCTCTATCATTCACCGAGTTGAAATTGGTTCCTTGGTGCGTTATTCAACGTGCGCTCGTGAGCTTGATTAGCATGCAAGAGTTACTTGGGCACTGAGATACCCGTGGAAAGACGCCATATGTACCAGTCACCTTTTACTTGGTAAAGTTCAGGCATGCCAACATCATAGATCGGGACCGATTTCGCTTTAAACATCATTTCATTGGAAACACGCGACAAGCCAATTCTGAAGCAAATTGTCTACGCCTTGAGCGACTCATATTGACTAGGCTGCCTAAAACATGCTGTACAACGGAGTAGGGAGCAGCACAGCTAGTAACTCTACATAATCGACTGACAAAATTCAATTTTCCAATTGCTGTCATGCCGAGAAGAAGAAAAGAAAAGAAAAGTTGCGAGTGTAACAAGAAAAAATTTTCTACTGCTGTTTGCTGGCGCGTGCAAGGTATGCGGCATCTGCGCTGTCGCAGATTGGCAGTAATTTGCCCCCAACGCGCGGGGCGTCGCGGGGACGACAGCTGCAAACTTGCACCTTGCACTCAACTTGGCCGACTTTTTGCTATCGAATCAGCAAAAGAATTGCCAGCGATCTGTTGGAATTATCATCGCAGTTATTTCAATTTGAAACAGCGTCGAGTTCCGCAGCTCTCCACTCTCCATCCTACCGGCAGCAGTCGCGTCTGGCTACGCCCGTGTCTACGTCAGTGTTTAGGCGCGCCGCCGTATAGCTTGACCCATCAACCACGATGCCTCAATATCGCATCGGTAGGTTTCCACACAGATATGTACCTTTTAATTACTAACAATGCAGAACTTTCTGGCAACAACCGTGCCGGATGCAAGGACGGTGTGTGCAAAAAGGCTGCCATCAAGATCACCAAGGGCGAGTTAAGATTCGGCACCTGGGTTGAGATTGATACCCATGGCAGCTGGTCGTGGAAGCATTGGTAGGATGCCAACTCTTCAGTGATTGGCCCTCGCTAATTGTACAGGGGATGCGTGTCGGGCGAGCAGATGCAGCGCCTGCACGAGCAATGCGACAAGGGCGATGGCAAGTGGGACTTTGATGAGATTGATGGCTACGATGAGTTGGCGTACGTCGCCCTTAAGCTGCAAGAGTCGCAAGCTAACAGACTCTAGGCAAAACTCTGAGGTGCAGGAAAAAGTTCGTCGCTGCGTGAAGCAGGCGCACATTGATCCCGAAGACTTCAAGGGAGTATGTAATGCATTTACTTTTATCATACTCTGGCTGACTATTATAGGATCCTGAGAAGAATAAACCAGGTGAAAAGGGCATCCGTCTCAGCGCCAAGGAGAAGGCTGCCCTTGAAAAGACTGACGAGGTACGATTCTTTGACCGCGACATTATGCGCAGCGCTAATTGTTTAGGATGAGCCAAAGACCAAGAAGCGAGGCCGAGACAGCAAGGCCAAGGGTAAAAAGGTCAAGGCCGAGGAGGAGGATGAAGGCGAGCCGCCTGCCAAAAAGACCAAAGCCCCTGCAAAGAAAGGCAAGCAGATCAAGGCAGAGGACGACGAGGAAGACGACGCGCCCATTACCAAAGCCAACGTCGGTCGCGGCAGAAAGGCCAAGGCTGTGAAAGAAGAGGAAGACAACGAGGTTCCTGCTAAAAAGACCAAGGCTGCTCCTAAGTCCGCCAAGTCTAAGCAGGCCGACCAGAAGGAAGAGGAGGAGGATGCTCTCTCCAAGAAAGCGAAGGCTACGACGAAGACAGCTTCGAAAGCTAGGAAGCCTAAGCAGGTTGGTGAGGAGGAAGATAACGAGGACGATGCTCCGCCTGCCAAAAGAGCTCAGGCCGCTACTAAGCCAAGAAAATCAACTCAGGCCGCTGCGGACGAAGACGACGAAGACGAGGCTCCTTCTGCGAAAAAGACCAGAGCTGCTCCTAGACTCAGAAGATCTACCCAGGCCGCTGAGGAGAATGATGATGAGGCGGAAGCTCCCCCCGCTAAAGGGGCCAAGGCTGCGCGCAAAACCAGAAAGTCTACCAAGGCTACTGAGGAGGAAGATGACGATGAGGAGGAGGCGCCTCCTGCCAAGAAGGCGAAGACTACTCCCAAAGCTGCATCAAAGTCGGCGCCCAAGGCCAAAAAGCCCGAGGCCGGTGAAGATGAGGTTGAGGACAAGCAAGAAGATGAAGAGGAGAAGCCCAAGCCCAGGCGCCGCGGTCGACCTTCCAAAGTATGATTACAGTGTATTATCAGCGGTTGTATAAGAGGAGTTGAGGCCTTGTTTGAGTGGTTACATGGTAGGAGAATGGTTCGCAGTAGTTTGTACTATGAGAGAAGAGCGTATGTTTGCTAAAGAAGTTGGGAACTTACTAGACGAGAGCTGTATTCTCAGTCAGTGTTGTCTTTACAATTAATACAATCTTTCCTGTTGCTTGATTGCGGCTGCCCACCTATCTTTGCCAGGTAGTCGAGGCAGGCGCCTCAACGTCATTACCCCACCATGAATAATGAATCCCCAGCTTAAAGCTCTCCCCAGCTCCCCTCCATCATCAGCAAGACACACGCCGCAGTCATGTCCAACGTGAATCCTGACCCCGGCCAGGATGCGCCCGCATTTATCCCGCTCGAGGCGAACCCGCCGCTGATGACGGACCTCTTGCACACACTCGGCGTATCCCCCGCCCTCGGCATGCATGACGTCTACTCGCTGACAGAGCCCGACCTGCTCGCTTTTATCCCCCGCCCCGCGCTCGCGCTGCTGCTCGTCTTCCCCGTCAGCGCTGCCTATGAGAGCCAGCGTCTGTCGGCCGACAGCCTAGTTGACGAGTACGCCGGCCATGGCGCCGCTGAGCCCGTCGTGTGGTGGCGGCAGACGATTCGCAACGCTTGCGGCATGATGGGCCTATTGCACGCCGTGTCCAACGGCCCGGCTCGGGAGTTTATCGGTATGCTAACGCAGCGTGTGCGATTGACAAGACGAATATGCATGAGGCTAACGAGGTAATGGCACAGAATCCGGCTCGACCCTCGACAAGCTCCTCGAAAAATCGATCCCGCTCGATCCCGCACACCGCGCCAAGCTCCTTGAGCAGACCCCCGAGCTCGCCGCCGCGCACAGGCAGGCAGCTTCGCAAGGCGCCACCGCCGCGCCCGACGCTCAAGACGACGTCGACCTGCATTATGTCTGCTTCGTCAAGGGCAGCGACGGCGCGCTGTACGAGCTCGACGGCCGCCGCAAGGGACCCATCCGCCTCGGCGCACTCAGTGCTGACGAGGATGTCCTCAGTGAAAAGGGCTTGGCGCTCGGCCCGCTCAAGTTTCTCGAAAGGGCGGGCGGCGACCTGCGCTTCAGCGCCGTGGCACTCGCGGGTGGGCTGGACTAGACGCAGTGCTGCTCTCAGTGCAGTCACGACCCGGCAAGAGAGTGCAGAGCACGCGAAAAGGCGCGCAGGATGACGCCCGGAAGATTTCTGTTGGATTAGAAACGTGTACGAGGCTAAATGTACCTTATGATTGCATGCTGACGACGATGGCGTATTGAGGTACAGACTACAGCGGCCGGCATCGATATGCATTTGCATCGAATAGCACAGCAAGGTAGCAATAGTACGTCATCGAGTAACTATGCTTTGCCGTGAGTAGAGAATACTCAGACTAAACGATCCTCTAATTAATTGAGGCGTCTAATCGCAAGCTACAGTCGCATGGATGCATTGATGCTATGGCATGGCAATCCCAGCGTGCGACGCGCTAGACGGGATTTGGAGTATCGAGGGATATATATTCTAGCTCAATTGCCAAGATTCATTGTTGTAGATGGGGGGGAGCTAGCGGATGAAGCGTACTTCATGCTTACGTCGCCGACCTCGGTGCTTCGCGACGTTGTTTGCCGGTGGGTAGAACATGCAAGAACTACTGTGAAAGCTCCAAGCGTATACAAACGTATGCATTTATAAAGAAGTCGAATTTCTCTCATATAATTTGTATTTCGGAGGAAACTGGCTCGAGAGACATGGTGTTGAAGGCGCTTTGCAAGCGCAGATAGCAAGATAACTTCCACTTGATTATAAAGTAATGGCATTGCGTTGTTGAGCATAGGCCGGTATTACAGCATATCTATCCAAACCATTGACCTTTGGAGGGTACCTGCGGGAAGAAATTGATAAACTCGGTTGAGAGCACGACTTGGGGGCGAAAGACAGCAGTGGTCTTTTCTATTTTAAGCGCCTAGGTCCTTGAGCCAGGATTCAAGCATCTTGATAATTTGATCCTCGTATTGGCCGCTATGACATTAAACCGTGGTTCGGTAGATGGGACCCAAGAAGAAACTGCAGAGCCGCCCACGCAGTGAGATGACGAGTCTGGAGTTTTGCGTCCATGGCTTATCCGAGAGGATGGAGAAACACGAAATGGGCCATTTTCTTGTCTTTGGATGAGAGGCGGCTTCATCGATGCACAGATTGAAAGCAACCTTCATTCGTCCGCTTAATTGTGGAATCGCCTTGCTGACGATTGGCTCACACCATTGGTCAAGTCTGCTCTGATTTTCGCACAATCTCTTCACCACCATATAAGATTCAATAAGCCGCCGCTTTTCCAACAAGCAGCTCCAATAAGAGCGCATTCACTGGTCTGGTGGTCTAGTGGTATGATTCTCGCTTAGGGTCCACCCTGAGTTTAACAACTTGCGAGAGGTCCCGGGTTCAATCCCCGGCCAGACCCTATGTTTTTGATTCTCACACCACCTATCACTAGGTGGAAGTGGTGCATTGATTTTTTGGTGGTGACGAAGGCTAAGTTGAAAAGGAGGGGGATTGAGTGGCTAGTTAGATGTCTATACCGAAAAGGAGTGCTTTGTTTTGCGTGGTTATGAGCGAGGTCAAAGGTTCGCGTCTGGTAGACAGCCTACCCTGGAGCTGGGCCTTTATTGTCCACGGGTCACTATGACCTCGTGGAGGCGTGAAAAGAAAGAACAAGTGCTTTCCTTGTTTTTTCTCTTTTCCTTTAGGAATGTCTGACTATGTCTGTGTATTCTTAAGAAGTCATCGCATTGTCTGGTGGCCGAGGAACATTGATCTGATGTGCACCAGCATTCATGAAAGTTGTAAACCGAGTCTTGCGCATATCTTATGACACAGAGCGGGGAATAGGGAATAAGAAGAAAAAAGTGCCCGAGACCAAGATTTAAAAACTGTCAGATCTATCTAGATGCAGGCTTTGAGATTAGTTTATGTATATTATTCACCAACCTATGCTCGAGGGCAGCTTTTGAGTACAGCTATCCCAAAGGCCACACCAGCCCACTACATGACTTTTTTTAGCACGCAGAATTTGGAAGAGGCCAGGCACGAAAGGAAAAGCATAGCCTGATTCATTTTATTAATTATTACACACAAAATCCCCCCCCCCCCATCTCCGTCGAACGCCGGCACGCGAAAAACGTCAACCCACCAGCCCACCTCGCGTCGACGCGTGCAAGTCGCCCACTATTCGGCGATGGGTCAACCCTCTTCTTTCTGGAAATCAGGCCAGTAACTCAAGATCTGCATGTTCATTCACTTACTCGCTCTCTTTGACGGCGCCTTGAAATTACGTTGGACCTTGGCTTTGATTCCCATCGGGGTCTGGCTGCTGCTATTTATTGATCAGCACGCCAACTTGCTGGTACACCAGTCCATATGCCTGCAGAGAAAATGTTATGAACCATGTCACATTATTGCAAGAATGATGATAATTTCAACTCAGCATATAGACGCATCAAGCTCATATTAACATATACCCCAAATCACCAATCATTAACCATAGATACACAACGCCGCCTCCTGGCCCCGATAGCCTGTAAACCATCACGTTTCCATAACGACCCATAGAGTATAGCTACAATCAGATGAAGCCCTTGGTCAAGCTTGGTGCGCGACTCAGGCTTGAGTCTTCGTCTTCGTCCTCTATCACTCCCAATGCATTGATCCTGCTGCGAATGCTCCCACTCGTCTTGAGCTTGAGGCTTCCACCGCTTTTGAACGCCTTCAAACTATCCACCTCGCGCTCCAGGCGCAATGTCTTTTCCTTCTCCTCCCGCAGGTCGCGTTCTGCGCGTCGCGTTGAAAGCTGAATCGCCGACTCGGACGCCTGCAGTTCGTCGATCGTCTTCAGAAGCTTGTCGACCTTTTCGCGCATCCGGCTGACGTCTTCTGAAAGCTGCGCGTTTTGTCGGTCTTTCCGTTCGACCTGGCCCTGCAGGTCCTTGACGGCACGATCTACGTTGCGTGTTGATCGCTGCGACTGCGACTTCTCCGTCTCGTGTTTCTCGAGTTGTGATTCAAGCTAGAACAATTAGAACACGAACAAGTCAAACAAAGACCATCCTACATACCTCTTGAATTCTCCTGTGCAAAAACTTGATATCCTGGCTGGCGCTCGAGAATCCCTTCGTCTCTAGATCCACCAGCTTCAGCTGGGCCTCATTGAGTGTGCGCTCTACGGCTGCCTTTTGCGAGAGCACGGAAGCATTGTTCTCACGCTCCATGACGACTTCCTTTTGCATCTCGGCCACCAAAGCCTCTGAACGGCGCATCTTTTCCACTGCAGCCGTGGCAACATCCTCTTGCTTAGCCAAGTTCGACTTGAGCTCGAGAATCTCCTTGTCCATGTTGGCAGCATCTCGCAGCGAGGCACTATCGCCGCGAGCGAGACCGTCGAGGCCAGCCTTGGCTTCCTCAAGACGGCTCTCCACGCTGCGCTTCTCGCGCATCAGGCGATCGCGTTCGGCGGTAATTTCATCGACGCTGGTTCGCAGCGTGCGTACCTGCGACAGTAAAGATACGACCTTGCCCTGAGCCTCGCTATGCGCATTGGCAGCTTCCTCGCGCGAAGCAGATACATCGGACAGAGTGGCCTCCATGCGCGCCTTTTCCTTGGACCAAGTAGAGCTGTTCAAGACCTCGTCGTCCCACTTGGATCGAAGATCATCAAGCTCTTCTCGAAGTCTGGTAATCTCAGTCTGCTTGTACAGCTTTTCCTCGCGGGCAAGATCAAGTTCCTTGGTCAGGGTAGCAAACTCAGCCTGATACTTCTTGCGAGTCTGCTCCATGCTGGATTCTTTGTCCTCAATGTCCATGGCGCGCTGGCTACGATAATCTTCGAGCTCATGCTGGAGGCGCTTCTTGGCTTGCAATGCCGCTTCCAAATCGGTTGAAATGTCCTCAACCTTTTCATCAAGACGCTGATTCTGTCTCTGCAGGTCCTCAATCTGGTTATCGAGTTTCTGGCGCTCGGCCATGGTCTCAGCCAAAGAATCTTCGGCTTCCCTAGCCTGAGACTTGGCAAACTGCTCGGCGCGAGTAGCCTTGAGGACAGAGATCTCAGCTTGCTCTAACTTGCCAAAGTACTCGTCAGCGCGCGACTTGTAAGTCTCGAGACTCGAGGTCACGTCTGCTAGTCTAGCGCTTTCTGCGTCGAGGCGAATTTGGAGATCGGTGTATTCTTGAAGTAGCTGACTGCGGCTCTGTGCCTCTTGCTCTCGGGCCTGTGTCATCTCATGCAGATCCGACTTGACGTCGCGCACTTCGACTTCCAGCTTGGCGCGGTCGTGGCGCATCTTATCAAAGTGAGACTTGACGTCAGTGAGCTCCGCTACAGCATCCTTATGACTGTGAAGCAGCGAGCGGCGAGACTCTTCTTGGTTGTTGAAAGCGTCGAGCAACTCCTCATGGGTCCGAGCCTGGATATCACGCAAGGACAGCTCGCCAGTGCGAATATTTTTCTCGAGAGTAGACACCTTGCGAGCAGAGTCGTCCAAGAGGTCGTGTAGACGACTGTTGGCCTTTTCGAGTTTTTGCATGCGACGCATGGACGGATTCTGCTCATCGTAGTTGTTGTCGGGGCCAGGAGTTGCGCGGTCGAGCTGACTTTGCAGGTGTCGGTTTTGCATGTCTCTTAGCTGAAGCTGGTTGTGAAGTTCTTCAACTTCTGCCTTCATATCCATACGGTTGTTCAACAGCGCAGTATCGGCGGTTTTGTCAGAGCGAACAGAGTCCTGAAGTTCAAACTCGGGCTGCTGGTTGCGACGCGTTGGCGTTGTCGTGTTGGAAACTCTTCGCGCCTTGGACTTCCTTTGCGTAGGCGAGCCATTGAACGGAGCTTCGTTGAGGTGAATCTCCTCCAGCTTGGGGCGGTTGGGATCGCCCCGCGAGGCGCGAAGCTCAGACAACTGAGACTCGGCGTTGGAACGTGCTGCAGTCTGAGCGCGTAGATTTTGCTGCAGCTCTTCAACCTTGCGGGCTAGGTCAAAATTGACTGCGATGCCACGCTCGCTCGCCCCATCCATGATGGAGGGTGTGGCCTCAGGATCGACCGTCTTGAGAATCTTGAGCATCTGCTCGCGAAGATCCTCAAGCTCGCGGTCGCGGGATGACAAAGATGCCTGCAACGTCCTCACAGTCGACTGAGCTTGCGTGCGCAGCTGTCTCTCGGATTCCACCGTGCGGTTGGCTTCGGCAAGCTGCGCAGTAAAGTTGGATGAGGCCTTTTCGGCGTTGCGGCTTGACTTGACTTCACGCGCAACTTCGTGGTTGAGATCTTCCAAGTCGAGCTGCAGTTTTTCTGTCCTCTTTTCTAGCGAAGCAATGGTAACTTGAGCCTCGCCCAGTTGTCTGTCAAGAACAGCATTATGCTCTTCCAGTCTCGTTTTTTCTTTCTGGAGAGATAGAACTTGCCCACGAGACGCATCGCTTGCCTTGGAGGTCGATCGAGCGATCTCGAGACCCTTTTGCTGCAGCTTGTTTAACAGGGCTCGGTTGTCATTCTCCGATGCCGCAAGCCGGCTCTTGACAGTAGTTAGCTCACGCTCCATGCGTTCCTTGGCCTGATCATTCTTCAGTCCAAAATCGCCAGAAGCAAGCATTGTCTTGTTGAGGCCTTCAATGTGGCGAGTGAGCTTGGCACATTCAGTCTCGAACCACTCAAGGCGAGAGTGGGCGGCATCGAGGTCTCGTTGTAGACTGGCTTCGCGATCCTTGGCTGCCTTAGCTGCTTCAAGTTCACGTTTCTCCTCTGCAAGAACGCGGGCTTCTTCCATCTCCGCCTTGGCCGCACGTAGTTTGCGGATTTCGATGCGGGCTTCGTCGCGCTCCTGCTCAACGACCTTGCGAGTTTCTACATGCCTTCGCAGGGAATCTTGCTGTACATAGAGCTCCTTTTCAATGATAATTTTGGACTCATTGAGGTTGTCAAACTCGTCCTTGAGAGCGTGATATTTATGCTCGCCCAAGAGCAGGACGTCGTCACGAGACTGTCTCTCTCGGCTCAGATCCATCTGCGTTTGATACAGTTCTTCTTTGAGGTTCTTGATTTGAGACTCGAGCTGTTGTCTGGTCTTGTCGGCTTGCGCATCTTGAGATAGACGTGCCTCAAGCAGATTCTTGGCGTCCTCAGACTCTTTTTCAAGCTGAGAGTGCTTCGATTTCAGCGCAACGAGCTCGGCCTGAATTTCCCGAGACTTGGCAGTAGTCTTTTCAATGTCACCGGTCAAAGCCTTCTTTTGCGCCTCGAAGCCGCGACGCTCGGATTCGAATTGTCTCTTGTCACTACGGAGGAGTGAAAGCTCGCTTTCCTTGTCGCGAACGAGATCCTCGTACTCGGTAGAAGTCTTGGAGAGCTGTGCAAGCTGCTTTTGGATGTCCTTATTCTCTCGAATGACGCGCGCTTCGCGAGTCTTTGCAAGATCAAGTTCTTTTTGTGTCTCATGAAGCTTTACTTGTACTTCTTGATCCAGCTTGAGAAGCTTGCTCTCCAGATCTTGTGCTTTGCGGTCCTTGAGGGACAATTGACTCTGTAGCATCTTGATCTCGCGCTCGAGAGCTTCTTCCTGCTTTGAACGTTCAGACTGCTGCTGTGAAATGTCGTTGAATGATTGCTCGAGCTCAACAGAACGTGCCAAGAGCGTCTTCTTCTCATCTTCTAGCTTCGCGATCAAGCTAGCAGCCTGAGCAAGTTGGGTGCGGTGCCTTTCGAGGTCTTCTTCGGCGCGCACTTTGGCTTCCATGATCTCATCAAGCTCATCCTCCAGGCGTTCCTGATCCTCCAAAGCACCTGAGAGCTTCTCTTCAAGCTCAGCCTCCCGCTTTTGAAGTCGCTTGAAAATTTCCTCCTTGTCTAACGCGAGCGCTCGCTCACTCTCCAGAGTCTGCTGGACGCGCGCAATCTCAGTAAAGCAATTGCGGCGTTCTTCTTCGAGCTTAGTTTTGCTTTCTAGCTCGAGGCGCATCTTTTCATTCAGCTGCTGAATCATCATGTCTCTTTTCTTCACTTCAGAAGCTGTTCTTGTAGACCCAAGCAAAGGCTTCATCTTTACAATAAGATGCCACCAGGGGTTTTCTACAAGGTCGAGATAGACGTTGAAGTTTCTTTGAATGATTCTGGTAGCCTCCGTCCGGAAGAGTCGCTTGTATGCCGCACGTCGCTGGATAAAGCCTCGCGCAACCGACTGAAACCGTGACATTATCTCGGTGATCAGGGCATCACGCCGCTCTTCCAATTCGGCCAAGACGCCAGCACGGAAAAAGACCTTTGTGAGACCAACACGGTAGAGAGCCTTGTCCAGAGCAAGCTTTTCAAGCATAATCGTGGCAGCAGTCTGGCCATCCAGATGACCCTTGGGCATGTTGGAGCAAAGAACTTCGTATCTCTGGCGAAGCTCATCAAATGACAATCGATTAGGGAATCCAGTGCGAGCGATTCGAATTCCCTCAAGCACACCGTTGCAGCGTAGTTGGTCCAAAACAAGAAGGTTGCTGAACGTCTTGGGGCGCTTCTTGTGGTTGGGAAGAATACATCGGACAAAGTGAGGATGTGTAGAGTGCAGCTTGTTCATCAGGTTGTGAAGCTGCTCCTTGTGGCGTTGGGCGACGGTTCGAAACAAGCCCTTCTTGACACGGTTGCGGCTGCTGGCAATCTCATCATCTGGGTCAGCGCAGTCGGCAAACAGTGCGGCGATATGCTTGTCACTCGAACTCGCAAGTAGTCGTGTGACGTTGTCGTTGAGAGGGTCTTTGTTCTTCTCAAGCCAGCCGGTGGTATCATATTCGACTTCTGCGGCATAGTGGGTAAGAATGAAGCCCGCGCCCAGTCTGGAAGGTCGGTACTTGGGAGTCTTCTTTTCCCACAGAGAGTTGAGCTTCTCAGTGAAAGTCTTATCGGTAGCCTTGGGCATAACGCTGTCCTCATCGAGGCAAGAAAATATACCAATAGGGTTAGAGAGTTCAATGAGGTCAATCGTTGGCTGCAAGTCTCGACCAAAATCGATGAATTGCCACTCGATCTGTTCCTTAGCATACTCTTCCTGCTCCAGCACAAACATGTGATGGTTGAAGAATTGCTGTAGCTTTTCGTTTGTGTAGTTGATGCACAGTTGCTCAAAGCTGTTGTGGTCGAAAATCTCGAAACCAGCGATATCAAGAACACCAATGAAGTGTGATTCGTCAGGTCCCATGCCGGAGCTATGAAGTTGATGGTTGATTCGAGAAACCAAGTCGCCAAAGCCGCGCTCGTAGATACCCTTGGCTAGCGCATTAAGCGCAAGACGAACCTGTTCGGGGGTCTGCACCTTTTCCACCCATTCACGCCCGGCTTTGACCTTGGGATGCAACAGACCGCGGATAAAGGGCTCCACGGGCACACCAAGAAGCTTACAGACTTTGGCAACCTGCGCTTTTGCGTCTGCAGAAAGCGAAGCCTGGTCTGCGCTTCGGCTCTCCTTCTTGACCTCGACATTGCCGAGATGCAAAACAGCCGCAATAGTTCGCAAAATAGACAATTGATCCTGCTCGGAGAATCCCATGACTTGGAAGGCCTCCATAAGGGTATCCCACTCTTCCGTGTCTGAAACTCCGACAATACTGTCGTTGCCATCACGAGTGTATGAAAAGTCGCTCGTGTCACAGCCATCAAGCATGAACTCCTTCTTGATGCGGGAATTTGCTCCCTTGAGAAGCTGGTAGAAGATATGGTAGTTACGTTCTTGGCCGTTGATACGAACAACTCTGGACTTTTCGAGCAAGTACCAATTTATGTGCGCGCCGGTAATTGCGCCGTTGCGGTTGAACTCGATTCGGATGAATTTGCCGAAGCGAGATGAATTGTGATTTCGAACAGTCTGCGCGTTACCGAAAGCTTCGAGAATTGGGTTGGCGCGAAGGATTTGTTGCGATAGGTTAGCATGCTGTCCGCGATTTTTGTTCGCGGAATCGGACTGCGCCACAGCAGCAAGGTACTGAATGACCTTTTTCGTGTTTTCGGTTTTACCAGCTCCAGATTCACCGGTAACTAAAATGCTCTGATTGGAGCCTTCTTCGACCAAATGGCGGAACGCTTCATCTGCAACAGCAAAGATGTGTGGCTTCGTGTCCTCTCGGCTTCTTCCTCGGTACATATTGACGTACTCGTTTGTGTATATGGGTAATGGACAGTATGGATTCACAGTGACCAGGAAGAGGCCTGAGTATGTGTAAATGAGGTCTGACTGGTATCGGATGCGGAGGTTGTGCACCACAGAGGCTTCGTTTAGATGCGTGAGCTCAGCCATGTCATTAGCTTTGTCGAATTTCGTAGGATTGACCTTGTCAAAGCTTTCAGCATCAACTTCTCGTCGCTGTTCACTATTAGCATGGGCTAGCCTCGTTAGCAGTACTACCACTCACACTGCCGTCATCGAGCTGAACGAGTAGTTTGCCACCTGGCTTATCCTCTACGACCCATCCTTTGACAAAGGCTTCCTCGGGATCCTTTAGCCACACGTATCGCTTGCCGGAAAAGTCATTTTCGCCTTCAATGCCTTTGACAGTGTCGTAGCCGCGCATCATCTCCTCCGTTTTAATGAAAGCAGGTGCAAATGTACCGGAGGTGGGAGTGCCGCTTCGTGAGTCTCTCCGCCCATTCTTCATGGCTGGCGGGGTCAATACTATTCCCAAATTATTGCCAGAATGAGATCGGCTATGTGAAGGGCTCGTTGGCTCTTGAGAAGAGAAGAGCGCAGACTTGGGCCGGCCACCTGTCGCTTGCGCAGAAGCTGGGGAGTCTGTTCTCGAGAACGGATTACGCCGTTGCGATGGCGCATTATATGTAAAAGTCATTTCGTCGGCGCATCAACATCAACAGCCGTTGATGTACACGAAGTCAGAACATGAACGCGTATCAACAAGCGTGTCAGTGAGTCTGGCCAGCGTTGAAAAAGAGATCTCAATACGGCAATGCGAAAAGAAAAGTACAAAGAAATGAAGAATCTGCCGAAAGTAAATCGGCGCACGAAGTCAATGTCGTCAATTGCCTTGTTGATCAAGGCTAAGACGAGCGTTTGTGTTCTCTGTTGCCCTTAATTGGCTTGATCGGCGCCCGTTGAGAGGCTCGTTGCCGGGGTAAAACCCCACCCAAGTAAACAATGATTTCACGTGATCTGACATCACGCAGGTGACAAAAGCGCTAGACCAGATTTAGACGACCATGGGTGGTCCTCGTTCCACGGCCCGAAGTCTAATTTCATCAGAAAACTCCGTACCCTCACAAGCGATTTCTGCGACCGCGTTTCATAGACGTGCCAGAACGTGAAGTTTTACTTTTCTTGGTGCACCGCGCATTGATACTTATTGGGAGGTAGAGCAAATACGCGCGATTCTACAATTAGGTAATTCCCGGCCCTTCGAAGCCAATTCTCTTGCCTATGACGCCAAGCCTTTGAGACAACGCCAACTTTGACGTCGAACTCACCTCATCCCGCACACATGGCACAGCCGTTGTACGGTTATGGCCATGGGCCGGGTGTTCTACCATCAGAACCAAACGCGCTTGTTGGAGGCAGCACGTCAGACGCGGGCGCAAATCACGCCGACGCGACTCAGCACTCGTTCGACCACAATAAACAGGCAATCCCGGGTCTCGGGTTAGGCTTTTTTGGAAAAGCAGAAAGCCCAACAACGAAGCAGATCGGCACGTATACCAAAAAGAAGTCGAACCGAGCAAATGCAACCATCGAAGACTCGGCAGAAGAAGGAGAAATAACTGCTGATGAATTCGAGGATCTGTATGAGTCGCAAGAGCCGGTACATGTAGTTCAGCAGGAACAACCAACAACCGAAATCGATAATAGCTACGTTGAGATGAGCGACGAAGAGCGTGATCGCTCCGGCTCGTACTCGCCTTTTCTTTCAGCTGGTGAGATGGGTTTATCTTCATCCGGGCCTATGCTTCTACCCACCGGCAATTCAGAGACAGTCATCACTCCTGGTACGACGGGGGTGCAACCGAAACCTACCGATATTATGGAAGTCAGGAACAAAGCAAAAGACGCTATTATACGGTTACGAGCGGCCAATATTGGTTACCAGGATTATGTCAATGAAGGCATTGACAAGTCTGTCCTCGATCAGCTCTTCAGTGACTTGGGGCTCGGGACGTCGTCGCCGAAGCCAGCGACTGCGGCCCCGACTGCGGTCCTCGCGCCTTCCAAGATCGACTGCACTGATTCAAAGACTGAAAAGACTGAGAGGACAACTGTAACGGCAGACGCTTCGATCGATAAATCGGAGTCACGCAAAGACCGCATCGCACGACTTCTTGCTGCAAAAGGATCGAAAGCTGCAAAATCTGGCGGAGCAACCGTCATTGGCAAAGTAGCCAAACCCCCAAATATGAAAGTAAACTCGGAAAAGTCCAAACTCTTACAGCAGAAGATGGAGGCACTACTCAAGGCGCGCGAACAGAAGCAAAAGGAGCTCGAAAAACAGGCAGCGATAGCAGCCTCGGAACTTGCGTCTAACCAAAAGAGACTCTCCAGCCCTGATCATGGAGCATCTCCAGCGGAGTTGTCTTCAGCTTTGCAGGCGGTGGTGGCAAGTGAAGAAGCTACCAAAATCTCAACATCTGAGGCTGTTCGACCGATTCCTTCCCCCACGAAAGCACTAGCCACGTCAAATAGTGGAAGCGGTAGTGCTTCCGAGGGCCCTTTCCAAAAGCCGTTCGCACAAACTCGACCGTTCCTCATTGACGTTAGCGATGACGATGACGACATTGATATGGAGATGGGATCTCCTGAGCAGCGTATGTCTTCCTTGCATGGACCTACCAACCCCGGTAAAAGGCTGCTACATGTCCCTTCGCTTCAAAGCCCCTCATCATTCAGCACGCCGCCGGCAACCCCGCAGGACTTGCTGAACAAGAAGATCGAGGCAATGAAGCGGAAAATTGCACAGGCGGAGGCAAAGAAAAGACTCGAGTTGTCTTCGCCAGCTTCCCCAGCAGCCTCGCCGCGACCGAGGGCATACGATATCTATGAAGCCAAATCGAGCTCTCCAGATGCTTCTGCTTCTATGAAACACGATACTGCCTCTCATCGACTACCCAAGATAGAAGAGAGAAGACTGGCATCACCTGGGTCGCCGAAAATTAATCGATCTCGTGCCGCGAGCGAGCGACTTCCAATGCTGGAATCGCGCCGAAAAGAACAGATGCTGAGGTTGAAGGCTCTCCAGTCGCAAGTGGCAAATATCGAGCGAGAACTCAAAGAAGGTCTCGAGGAAGAGCAGAAGCTGCGGGAAGACCTGGACTACATCTCCGACGACGACGTTCCCGTTACCTCGACTCTTGAACCGGTTGCTCCTCGGACAGCCTCAGCTCGTGATCATACTGAGTCTATTGCAAATACTGACAGGTCCCGGCAAAGTTTGGCGAATCCTGTTGACATGCTGAGCTCTGATCACATTGCGACAGATTCGAGTTCTCGGTCAAGTCCCGAGTTGGTTGGCGATGACACAGCTGCCTCTGCACTATCAGACGGACAAGGCATGCAGTATGAGGCTCTAAAAGACTCGCATGATGCAGCCGCTGAAGTAGCAATCGCATCTACCAACGACGAGGATATTGCTATGGAAGAGGCAGCTGGCAGTGGAGAGGAAGCTGATGAAGACTCTGACGGCTACGAGCCGGCTGATGCAAGCCCGTTTGAAACAGGACATTTTTCGCCCAATCAGCAAACGTCTGATGCTGCACTCGAGCTTACTGACAGCGATCCAGCTGTAGCCGCTCTCAGTGCCGAGCTACTATCTGCAGGCCGACAAGATTCTGCTCCAACGGAGCAAGAGAGAGAAGTAGTGCCTACCTCTCTCAATGGTAAGTGATCCAGACTAACCCGTTGGTTATTAGGTACGAGAGCGCGCGCCCGAGACGGCGGGGAGTACCTCCGTGCAGTCAAGCTATCTAGCATACGATTCTCCGTTACGGTACTTTCGCTCGTACCGGTTCCACCCTGATTTCAGCAAAGTTGTTGCCGGCGGACTACGATCTGCCACTTACAGCAATAAGATCGACCCCAAGCTGCCGCTTTGCCCAGACGAACTGGCAGGCAATGTGTGCCCTCGGGGGAAAAACTGCCATTTCCAGCACTTTGCGGAAATGAGTGCGCCCGGTACGTTTTGGCGCTCTCCGTGTGACGGAGCCATGTAGCGAAGGTCGAGGAAGCTCAGTCAGGCCTGGCGATGGCAAAAAAAGAACTGACCAAGATATACCGTTGATATTAGATGACCAAATCCTGCTGCAGCTGGGTGCGTATACGGATTGCGAAGAACCGAGAAGGCAAGAGTACATCGAAGGGCTCCGTCAACTGCTTACCGACTACCGGAACCGCAAAGTGAAAGATTTCAAGACAATCAGTCAAGGAATCATAGAGTATCGAGCCAAGTTCCACGGCGATGCCAGTAAGGTCCTCCCCCTGGGCACAGTTGTGCTCTGAGACAAGCAGACCAAGTCCAGTTTGTCATCCACCACCCCCTTCCTCCCCATCAATTTACCCGTAGAGTCCTGGACAACAACCATGTCCAGGTGTATTATCAGCCATTTCTGAGCGGCGTATCTTTGGATCGCCAAAGAAAGAAAACTTGCTTGCACTATCATTTCCTTATCATGGACGACGATTTTTTTATATACCAAGCGATACCCTTCATCTTGTTGATGCATTGCCCCTCCTTTTGCCGGCTTGTTCATCCGGCCCAATTCATCTCCGCCTTGACAATGCCCTCCCGGCCCCCCGCCATTTTTGCTGCCGGGCGCTGGAAAAGGTATTCTGGATGTGTGTGATTCGAGCCGAGGACGGAAAGATGAGCCGCATGGCTGCAAAAATAGTTTATTTATTGAGAAAGAGCAAGAGAGAAAACCGTTGGTGACTGAATAAGGAGAAGGGGCGTAAATATGTGTTTTTCTTAACATAAGACGTGGCCGCGTAAGGCAGCGGAAACGTATAATGAACCATTGATTCACAAAATGACTTTCAAAAAGAACCGTGAGTGAAAGTAGTTTCATCCGAAATTGATATGCATCGCAAGATATAAAGAGGCCAAAAATATATGAATGACTGGTTTATAAGATGATTCTCTACAAGAACTGGAAGTAATTAACTGAAATTCATATGCATTGCGGGGTATAAAGAGGCTAAGGATAAAGCTTGTTTACAACTTCGTTCATGTACAATTGCCAAAATTCTGGGTCCTTAAAGGCTGGGTTCGGAAAGCAACAAAACACATCAGCCGATGACGGCTGCTTCTAGCGACGCTTCTTCAACGTCTTCTTCTCGGCCCTCTTCTCCTCGCCCGAAGATGAAATGACGTCGGCGCGCTCCACGCCACTCGTGTCGGCGACGACGCCGCCGACGGCGTTGGCCTGGCCGGGGCTTATCCCGCGGCCATCGCGCAAAACGGAGACGTTGAGCCCCGTGAGCTGCTCGGGCTCCCGACGGACGCCGACGCCGCGAAGCTTGTCAGAGTTGGAGCCGGGCACGCTGCTGTCGAGTTGGGGCTTCTTGGTGGGCAAAGGCTCAAACTTGACACCCTTGAAGGAAGTCGAGGGCGAGCTGCCGACGGTGGCGGCGCGGGAGCGTACAGCCGGCTCTCGAGCGACGTGCGGCTGTGGAACGGGGAGGTGGCCGTGGCTCTTGCTGCCCAGAACGGAGGCATCGCTGTCGGTCGTGCTGTTGGCATTGACGAGCAGGCCAGAGCCCATGAGACTCTCGGAGCGAACAATGTGGTACCGGTCGTACTCCTCTACGGTGTGTTCGGCGTCGGTGAAGCTGTCAAGGGCGTCAAAGACGTGTTGGAAGACCTGGACATCGACGTCGCGAGCCCATAAAAAGTCGAGATGCTCGTAGTGGGGGATCTCGGTGGCGACAGTCTGGGGAGGCAGCTCGCGTAGCATGCTGTTGATGTCGACTAGGGAGTCGCTGCCGCCGTACACGAGAACAACGGGAGTGCGGATGTTGCGCGTTGGATACTTGGCCACCTTTGAGGACTTGCGCGAGGTAGTGACGCTTATGGGCTGGTGAACGTCGTCGTCGTAGAGCTGGAAAGAACGGTTGCGAATGATTTGGAACCAGTGAACGACAGACTTGGTACTCGTGAAAGAATAGAGATGCGGATAGGCGGCAAGCTTTTGGCTGTACGAGATGTTGAGAGTCTTCCAATTGAAGAGGAATGAAAGACCCATGTCAATGGATCGAGCGAAGAGAGGCGGATACATGATTGACTCCCAAGTGGTTGCAGAGCTCAAGATGGAGCGACGGCCAAACATGAGATAGAGTGCGGAGGGAGAAGCCTTCATAAGGGAGTCGACGATACCGTTGGACAGACCAGCAGGAGCCATGGCTGGGGCGAGAGCGATGAATACGTTGACTTGATGGTTGAGCTTTGGGTGAATGGCCAGCGTGGCAAAAGCTTGAGCAGTGCCTTGCGAGAAACCAATGTAGGAAAGACTCTGTTGCCGAGTACTCTCCAGGATATACTCGATGCTGTCGGGAATATCATGAAAGGCAAATTCATCAATAGAAAAGTCCCAGAAGCGTGTTGAGTTGGGTGAGCTGTGGATTGACTTTTTGGAGTATTTATTACCGCGATTGTTGCCAAACTGCTCCTGTCAGCGAGCGCATATTGATGAGGAGAGTCAACTTACCCAAACATCAAAGCCTTGTTCAACAAGCTCAAAAGCCAGACATCGCTTCTCGTCAGTCTGACAGACCCATACCTCAGAGTTCATGAGTAGGCCATGATGCATATAAATGACACGCTTTCTGATGGATTTGGGGCCATTGTTGACTCTCTGGCCCTCTTCACCGCGCTTCCACTGAAGACGGTGAAGGCCAAGAAGGTAGCCGTCCTTGGTTTGCACAATATGCTCTTCTGCTTCATAGCCCCAAAACCGACACAGCTCCACAAAGTCGGCTGCGTCTCGGACAGAGTCGGAGATGCCTAGGCCGGGTCAGCTGGCGAATGCGTGAACAGTAGTAGGTAAAGAGAACTTTACATTTGGTCTTGCGATTAACGCGCTTGTCTTCGGGTGAAGAAAATCGTAGGAATAGTCGACGCGACGCCCGATAAAAGTAGGCGACCAGAAACGAGGCTATCATGTGTCAGCTGCGTCCATTTGTTTGCGCAAATTTGATCGCTTGCGGGCAGGCTTACGCAGTGCTAGGGTGCAGATGCGGATGATGGCTTCAAGGAACACGAGGAAAAAGGAGCCAACGAGAGCAATGTACTCCATGCTGCGGCACGAGTAGTTAGTGGTCGAAACCGTGCGACAGCATTGATGCGATGCGCCGTGGTGCGTGCAACATACGGATGGAGGCGACCGATAAAGGGAACAGCCATGGTAGTGCGATTATTCGAGGAGTCCAGACGACAAAGTAATAGAGGGCACCATGACAAGAGCTATATTAGGAATCTTAGGTGATTAGAAAGATAGACATTTGATGCGCATTTCTAGGAGGCAGGTCAGAGAGTAGAAAGAGCTGTAATGGGTGGACGAAAGAGATGATGTCACAAGCATGTGAAGGTGCAAGCAACACATTCGATCATCATCGCTGATGAACGGGTCATGCGCCACACTGTGGCTAGACTAGTTAGAAGGCCCTTACCCACAGCCACCACGGCAGGTACTGCTAGATTACAATAAATTATTATTTGATGATTTCGTAAATTTGCCGGAAAAAATCTATTATTCCCTCCTAGACGGAATGGATGGTGATTTGTTTAAAACTTTTTGTCCACGATAGTTGGTGACTCTATACTTGTTCGCATCAAGCCATCGCATAAGGTCATCGCATCAAGCCCATTAATACATTGTTTTGTTTTTGTTTTGCCCAAGATTAATCCACAGATAGCCGTATTATAATCTGTCTGTCATGCGACTACATGGGTAAAAAAAATATGTTGGTCAATGCAACATTTGATCCTCTTTAAACTATTTTACGACCCCGGAATATGAGGTGTGTTGGCCACAAACGTTCCTTCAGGTGAGACGATGGTCTGAGTTCTGTTAACAATAAGGGCAGGACCATTGATATTGACACCCTTGGGGACATGGTAGCTTAAAGGGCGATCAGCAGAAGCGCGCTTTTGTTCTCGGGTTCATGGTCTCTGTCGGCTAGGCTGTCGTGATTCCATTCCAGCAGCTTCAGATGCCTGGCAGTCAGGCACCCAAGTTTGCCAAAACACATGGTTGGGCGAGCTCGCTTGCTTGGGTGGTGGCTTTGACTGTCTGGACTGGGGTTGGAATTCCTCTTCTGCAGAAATGGAGACAGTCCAAGTCCAGGGTTCATTCTGTTGAGAAGAACGTGGAGAAGTCTATTTCGGTGCATCGCCCATATTGAGTGGTTTTAGAGACCTGAGTCTACGTGAATAAGGAATATATGTTCTGTGTAAATTGATGAAAATAAAATTATAGGATTCTCTTGATATTGCTTCACAAAGACTGTGGCGGTTGTCGAATCAACTAGGCCAAGTAGGCCTAGCGTGGTTTCTAGTGTGGCTAGCTACTACCTATACACAAGTTGTTAGTGGCTGAGGACCCGTCCAATCAGCTGCGCGCGAAACTTGCCTGGATCAGCTGTTTGGAATCGGCCTATTGTCCCGGCGGCTCTACTTTTGGATCAACAGCCCTCAAAACTCACAATCTCACCATGCCCAGCTCGTGTCAGGAATTGCGTACGTCTAGCGAGCTCGCATTCAAAGCCCTCCCCTTTCACCGCTAACCGAACCGCAACAGGCGAGGCGCTGGCCCAGTGCCTTCAGGAATCCGACTGCGTCATGGTGCAGCGCAACCGGGCGGCCGACTGCCTGCGCGAGCCGCTGTCATCGACGCTGCCGACGCGCTGCCAGCAGCTAAAGAAGGGGTACGGCGACTGCAAGCGCGGCATGGTGGACATGCGCAAGCGGTTCCGCGGCAACATGCCCGTGGCGTACAAGAGCGAGTCGAGCAACGGCCCGCGGGCGGCGGACGGCGACAAGGGGTACCAGCTGTACGCCGGCGGATCGGCGTTTGGCGGCGCGGTACGCGAGACGAGTGGAAATGAGCCGGTCGCGCCGGATTGGCGAGACGTCGAGAACGAGCGATACCGGGCGGAGCAGGCGGCGATTGCGGCGGCGAATAGTCAAAAGTGATGGACCGGCCGGTTCGAGGGAGACGAGGGGAACGAGGAAGGATGCTCTGTGGCACCGTACATACAAATCATTTGGGATGCGGCATTGCGGCTAGGCGTTTGAATTGGTTTGATCTCCTGCGATATTGTACGATGGAAGGCTGTGTAGGCAGGGGTCAAGTGCGAATTCTTGAGCACCCACCTGCGTGCATAGAGACGACCGCCGTGTAAGATTACATATTCACAACTCTGTACGATTAGAGTCGATGGCTTACTTGCGCATGTGGTAGAGGCTAATGTATGATACACCCTCTATTGCTCTGCTCTGATAGACGGGCTTGGTTTGTTTGTTTGTACTGTGTAGCGTCCATTGCAGGACTCCAACGCCGTCTGTATCAAAAACATTGCTCAAAGTATAGAGTAAGCACTTGGATCTTCTGCCAGTGTTCTCCAACGCCGACGGCCGCCGAGACGAGGATGTCTGTGGAGTGTGATGGTAGATTAACCCTATATCCTTGATCACTCACTAACCCTTAACCCTAACTAGGCTCACAGGACCGTGGAATTATCATAACATGGTCAAAAGAATAGCGAATCAAGCCTACGGCGATAGGACTCGACGGTTCAATACTCTTATAATGTTTGGCGCTAGATTTCGAATTTGCCGATTTTTCAGAAAGATAAAACGGGCAGCCCATTATTTCATCACTAGTGACATTCCAGTACACACCGGTAGGTTTACGCCACCATTTCTGTTAAAACTCATACCCCCAAATAACAACTATAGCTTTAGTATATTCAAAAAAATGATTATCTCTGTTTAATAAACCGACAAGATGCATATCTTAGCTGTTGTTAACTATTGACTGTACATCCGTACTTCGTTAGGCCATGCAAGTAGCTTACACGACGAGATTGTTTCCTCACGGTCGCTACAACAACTCAGCTTCCATGGTGGTGGGTAAGACAAAATAGTGCTGTTGTACAGGTATTTTTACATCTCCCGAAATTCAAAAGCAACCCCGAAAAGCCACCAACTCAACCCCCCCAAGAATAAGCTCTGACTCCCGGCGGAGTAGATCATTGACCACTATGCAAATGACCACCTCGCGACCCTCACAGCGTCTTGTGCAGTGTCATACTGATACAACGACCAAACCTAATCTCCAGCAATGGCATGTCACAGACACGGCACGCGATGTTGCATCGCAATCTAGTCGGCTGATTCAGCGCCTTTTGATGCACTAAGCCCTGTTAAAATACCGAAACCAACCCCGCTAGCGTGCCGAAAAGACGGCTAAACTGATGAAGTAGACACCCACCGAAGCCGTCTGGAGTCCGCTAAAGAGCCGCTAAAAACAGGCCATCTGAGACCTTTTCCAGCCCTCAAGGTTATCACGGCAGCGCCTTGGCGTCGACCCTTGGACTTTGTTTTTTTTTACCTCAGTTCAGGCGCCGACATGAAACCTCTCTTTACCTCACCTTGACATGAACGTGCCGTTTCTCGCACAGTTCCTGGCTACTTTCATCGTCGATTTCGCTTCACATATACGAACCTCGCGACGATAAGATTTACTACCTTAATATCAGCGCTATATCCGTACCACCGTACCCGCGATCGACCTCTAGCGCCACGCAGGCAAGCAGCCACCATGCCGCGTCTGGGTCCAGAACCCTCGTGGCAGCATCGACGCTTCTACACTATTATGCTCGCCGCCGTTATCTTCACAATTATCTTTGCTGGACTCTGGCGCTTCTCCACCGCGCCTCTCGTATCGCTCCGCGCATGGACGACGGCCTCGCAGACAAATCAGCAGCAGCAGCAGCAGCAGCAGCAACAGCAGCAGCCTAACAGTGACGACGACAATGACGTCGACACGCTTATTCGCCACGTCAAGTTTGACGAACCCACGATGATGAAGAGGCTCCCGCGCAACGTCATTCCTACGGCCGGTAACGGCCGTCGGCTCATCGTCATCGGCGACATCCACGGCATGGACGATGCGCTCGACCGATTGCTCAATCGCGTCGGTTACGACGGCACCACCGACCACATCGTCGCTGCTGGCGACATGGTCAACAAGGGCCCGCACTCGTCGCGTGTTCTTGCCCGCCTTATGGAGCTCGGCGCTTCGGCCGTCCGCGGCAACCACGAGGACCGCGTGCTGCTCGCCCTCGCCTCGGCCGAGGAGCAGGAGGAGGCCAGCGAGAGCGTCGAGTTTCCAGACTTTCAAGAACGCCGCAGCAAGAAGCGCGACCGCGAGACGGCCCGCCAGCTGTCCAAGGAGCAGATCGAGTGGCTGACGGAGAGGCCGCTGATTTTGTCGGCCGACGACCTGGCCATGTACATTGTGCATGCTGGCCTGGTCCCGGGCATCCACCCTCTCGAACAAGATCCCTGGGCTGTCATGTACATGCGCTCTCTGATTGAGCCGCCCAATCATCGCGTCCACCAGATTCCTGACCATTACGGGGATCCCGGTGAAGAGTTCTCGAACGAGGATGCAGATGAACATGCTGAGGAACATGATGACGGTTCCGACGAGAACGCCCACGCCAACATTGCCTTTGAAGACCTAATCCCCATCGAAACCCACCAAGGCCATGATTGGGCCGACCTCTGGGATCTCCGCCAGTCCCAGATCCGCAAAGCCGACCGCCGCACCGTCGTCTACGGCCACGATGCCAAGCGCGGGCTGCAAATTGGCAAGCATACCTGGGGTCTTGACTCGGCCTGCTTCAACGGCGGCAAGCTCACGGCTCTCGTGATTCACGTTAGCAAAAAGGGCCACTTGAAGCGCAAGATTCGCCAGGTATCTTGCAAAAAGTACAAGCACTAACTAACTCGCGACCTCGTCAGGCAAAAGTCTTTCACTTCAGAGGCCTATTTTACTTTACTCTTTTCTTGTGCCACGATACCAATTTTTTATTCCCTCAACACATATATAGATAGTCCCTCATGGTTAGCGCTTATATCTACAACGATTTGATCATCTTGTAACTCATCTACAACAACCTTGATTGTTATTCTCGGCCTACAAACTTTACAGAGCTGAGAAATGCGGGGGTTTTACACGTTCCAATAGTAGCTGACTTGTACTTCCGGCTTTTTCACCATCCCCTCGTCTATTGTGACAGCCATGCAGATTCCTAGCTTGGCATATTACCCCTCTGTCGAGACCTGCAGACAACGCTGCCAAACCATAAATAAAAGTCTAATAGTCGATCCATGCTTATGCATCAAGCCATTTCAGCCATATTGAAAAATTTGGTATATGACTTGTCGATCAACGCCATACGGCGAGACACACATGTTCAGCCACGCCACCGTACGTGCCCTCATGACGACGGGTTGTAACTAGGTAGCAGGCCTGGGGGATTGGTTCTGGCACTAACACCATCAAAAGTAGCTGCGGAAGAGCGTGAGTGGCTCGCTGAGCGTTAACTATACATGTCACGTCGCGTAGCCGAGGTCTGTTCTGTTGAGAGGGTTAAGGGTTCAGGGTTAATTTTGCAGGGGTAACAGCTACTTGGATTCTGACTCGGCGTATCAATATGGAAAAAACCCGGGCTCACATCCTGGGACAAAAAACCATACTGAATGTCTCGACTCCGTTTTACATGCGCTCTCACTATGTTCTGCATCTCACGCTTCCCAACTGGTCATTGATGCCCAGTCTGTCAAAATTGGCCTCGTTTCGGTCCAGACCAGGATACAGAAGGTTCTTACAGCGGTGGCTCCTGTAACAACATTGTCAGCTGGCGTTGGCTGATTGGTTCACGTTGCAACTCACCTGTACAAGTCACATTTGATTTTGTTATTAGGGGCAAATTTGGCAGACGACGCATGATGGAAGCTAGTTATGACACAGCAGCCGGTTAGACACCCGCGTTTTGCCACAGTGAAATGAAATATCCGAGAGAATTTGCACATACAAATTGTCTGACATGTCTTGACACCTGTTCACGCTCGAAACATGGTTATTGGGACCTCGGTAGTTTACATTCTTGAAGAAGGTCACCTGTTGATGTGAGTAGCGACCAACCGTCAGTCTGGCTTTGTAAAAAGAATCGTCAAAGTTGGCAAAGTTGACCGACTAACCAAGATAGCATTAGTGTCGACGTCTGCCGAAGCATCTACGTCTGCCGAGGCAAACGCTGCCAATGCAACGACAAGCGCAGCTTGAAGCCCAGAGATCTGCATCTTGGTGACGGAGGTTTGCAATTCGCGTGGCTTGCTTTTTAGCTCGGATGTAATTACCAGTGGGAGAATGAGATATAAAGAAGATTGATGCGACTGGACTGTGTAGCGGCTGCGCTGCTATATATATTCACAGAGCGGATGGATAACTTTGGGGCTATCGAAGGCTCAGTCGCGATCTGACTGAAAACAGAAGTCGACTGTAGCTGGAACATGTCCTCCTATGCATATTGGTGCAAAATGAGTCTGTTACAGACTGTGTCTAGAATAGCCCGGTGCATATGTAATACTAGTCACAAGTAACCAGTTATTTCGCTTCTGTGCGAGGCATGATACCTATGCGCCAAGCTGCAGAGCAAGTATTGGGGCTAGCTGAACCTGTGCAGTATTTATCCCATGCAAGTAGTCCATAGCTTCTGGCTACAAGGATATTCTACCGAGAGAAAAAGGCTGCTGTATATTTCTGTAGATTTTCCTTGCCCTTTGAAGTGATTGTTCACCGTTGATGCTCAGTCACATAGTCAAGCCGCAGACGGGCGAAGGCGCTCTGCCGACATAACAGTTATGTGCTTGTTGTTCAAGTATGTGCCTGCGTAAAGACTTGAATTTACAGACAGTCTTTGTATCACAGACAACGCCGCGATGGAACTGAAACCGACGCCTTGTTCTTTTCACAGCCAAGCTTTGTGGCTTAGGTGCCCGATGAATCAAGCCAATGGCCGACATATTGCTGCAAGGCCGCAGTGTGCCGTTTTTCTCAATCCAACGGCTCCTCCCACCACGCATGGTGTCTCGGAACATGGCCAAGAGTGGCAGCTCTTCTCGCGACCGACAGCCAGGACACTGGGACGGATACTTGCTACACTACCCACATTCGACCCGATCGGCCCATCGGCGGAGCAGTAATTAGTATATAACTAGCCAGTTGACCAGTTTAGCCTCATGCGCAGCTCAGCCGTCGGGGGAGGGGGGAAACGTAGATCGCATTTCCTGCCGCAGAAAGACAAGGCCAACTGTTCTGAACGAATCTTGCCGCTCAACTAGAAGTAGATTAAAGTAGCGCATATATCGGGCCGCGGCCATGCAAGCTTGAAAGCTCCTCGTGTGGGCACCATCGTCTGGCCACCATCGTCTGGCCACCACCTTCCTAACCGCCGAGTTGTGGAGGGTGCAGGCTCACTATCAGGGTTCTTTTTCGCTTGACATCAGCTCGAAAGGAGCATGAGCTGCATATGTTCTTTCCATGCCCACAAGCGGAGAAATCAGTCACCAGTACTCTTCCCGCCAACTTGCTCGCTTTGCTGATCTTGCTCCATCGCACAGTCGTTGTACAGGTTCTGGGATGCTCATTCGACGACTGAGGCTGCGAATCATCAGGCAGCCTCACGACGACTCTTGAATAGAAACTTTATAGAGGGGAACAGACGGTCACAATGGACATGACATTGGTATATAGAGCGGCACAGCCCTTCCACTGAGAGATCCCGGACAAGCACCCCCTACCGCAAGCCAACGCCCCTGCCTCGCACGATTCACTTTCTGTAAATACTGCATGGACAAAGAAAGAGATAACTCGCAAAAGGTAAGCTGCATTTTTAACATGTGCCACGCGGCATGAAATTCAAGGCTCTGTGTATTCTCTGATATCAGCTTCAATGATCTGAGGCTTGTCTTACACCAAAACGACATCGGACGGGATTTTCCATGTCAGCACCGAGCCCTACATAAGCCACACGACTTTCGATAGCTCGGCCTCCCCAGCTACAATCGACCTTGTTGCCGGTTGGGTGATAAGCTCAAGTGCGCGTGTTGCATTTGCCAAGACTATGGCGGCGGGATGGCTTCCTCAACGGGCGTCAAGACACAAGTCAGCACATCATAGCCTCTTTCGAGAACTTCAGTTGAAATTGAGCTCAAAGACTCGAGATTCTGGTTGGCCGAGGATCTGCCACTTTGACTTTCTGTACATCATGCCGGTTCTGTTAGGTCGGTCCGCGATCCGATTAGGCGGCCGATAATGCCAAGGCTGCAGCTGATGCCAGCTGAGGGACACCTCGCCGACATGAGAGCGTAATAAGTAATGTTTACTGCTACGATGCAACAAAAATGTAGCTGCGGTATAAAGTATGCTGCAACTTTGACGCGAGTCGTCGGCGGAAGAGTGGATTTCTCGGGCGGGCTGGAAACTCACACAACCCGAGCCTTGGGTCACAACTTTGGCCTAGACTCGACTCCAAGCAGCGGCAGAGGCAGGGTGGGAGTAATTCTTGTTGCAGGAAATTGAATAGGCTGCTCGACGCAATGTTCGAAGGCTGGTCAACAGTTTTCGTCGAATTACTGAGAGAAGGATCGCCTGTGCTGTATTGGAACATGTCAAACATGCGAGTGTCGCAGCTCTTATCATCTCGAAACTCAACCGAGTTATAGTTACTGGCTGCTGCTTTTGAAAGTATTAAGAATATTTTGTTCTTTTCCGATTTTGCGCGGCATCTGAATTGCATCCCGAGCGCTGCTTGATGCGACAACTTGAAGAAATGCATATAACAACGCCAGGCTCCGTATCGTCACTTCTATACTGCTGAACAGGAAAACAAATTGTTGCGACATCAAATGAACAAGATTGGGTGCTCTTCCCGTTGACAAGACAGCTAGCCTCATGCTTCCAAGCAGGTTTTATAAGTTCTGTTCGAGGTACCTAATCGCCGGTGGTTCTCGCTACTCAGTTTAAAAGGGCAAAAAGTGTTCCCTGAATTCAAAAGAGGAAGGATGGAGCTCTAGGCTCTACTTGCACGTCTGGAGGTGGCATCTCTACTGTGTTCAAGTTGTCACACAGATCTTCCTTGGCGAGCTCGACCTCCTTCACCAGCCACTCGCCAACCCAAGACTAGGTGCGCAAGCCATGTCGCACAAAAGGGGCAGCCTCCTCACCCCTCTGCATATGAACCCCCTCTCGAACTGCAACCAACCAACCTCACATGACATGATAAACATGACCTGATCAGCATCTCGCACACCATGGCCTCCACCACCACCAAGCAGCGCGCCCTCGACGACGCCCACCAAGCCAACGCCGCCGCCTTGGCCCTTCGCCTCGCCGCCTCTTCCCCCCCGCCGCCCTACCGTCTAGATGAGCTCATCGGCCGGGGCTCCTTTGGCCGCGTCTACAAGGCCACGCATGTCTCCACCGCCGCCGTCGTCGCCGTCAAGGTCATTGACATTGAGCGCGGCGACGCCGCCGCGCCCGGGCTCGCCGACACACTCGCCGACCTGCAGAGGGAGCTCGCGGCGCTGCGCGCCCTTCGCGGCTCCGCCCACATCAATCACGTCGTTGAGGCGCTACTCGTCGGGCCCGCTGTGTGGCTCGTCGTCGAGTACTGCGCGGGCGGTAGCGTCGCGACGCTGATGCGGCCGCTGCGGGCTAGTACCGGCGCCGGAGGCGGGCTGCGCGAGAAATGGATCGTGCCGATACTCAGGGAGACGGCCGCGGCGCTGACGTGGGTGCACGAACGGGGGATAATCCACCGCGACGTCAAGGCGGCGAATGTGCTCGTCGCAGAGGACGGTCGGCGCCACGGGGTGCAATTGTGTGATTTTGGCGTCGCGGCGACGCTGCGCCGGAGAGACGACAAGCGCACCACCGTCGTCGGCACGCCGCACTACATGGCGCCGGAACAGCTACTAAGTGGCAGCGAATCGGCGGGAGGATACGGCAGCGAGGTGGACGTCTGGGCTTTTGGCGCGCTCGCGTACGAGCTCGCGACGGGCCGCCCGCCCAACGCCTCGTTGGGCGTGTGCGGCCTCGCGCGGCTCGGACGGGTGTTGCAGATGAGAACGCCGCGACTGAGCGGCGGCGAGCACTCGGACGGCGTGCGAGATCTCGTGGCATGCTGTCTGCAGCGCGAGCCGGCGCGGCGGCCGAGCATGGCCGAGGTGGGGCGCCACGGATACCTGGCGGACACGGAAGCGCAGTTCCCGACCGAGTCGCTAGCGCAGCTGGTGCGCGCGTTTCGCATATGGGAGGCGCAGGGCGGCGACCGTCGGTCGCTGTTTTCGGAGCACGGTGCGGCGTCGGACGCGGACGCGGATGACGACGACGACCATGGGAATGATTTCGTGCAAGACTGGAACTTTAGCACAGCAGTCGAGGCGGAACCCCCAAGCGCGTCTGACGACGAGATACTCTCTGTGGCGTATGGTATTGATGACGACAGGCAGGAGTCGCGGCAACAGCGAAACGCGGCGTCGCGACGGCAGCAGCAGCAGCAACGACGGCAACGGCAGCCTCCGCCGCGGCACGCCGCGTCAAATCGCCGCTTGAGAAAGTGTTCGACTCCAACACGCTCTCCAACTACGACGACTACTCGAGGAAGTACTATGCCAAGTTTCTACCGGCGCCGGTGCAGCAGGCGCTCCTGCACAATGGGCTCTCCGGTCCGTCTGCGGATCGTGAATCGCTGATTGACCTAGACTTGTGCCTGGCCGACAACGACAGCAGCAGTGGCGACAGCTCCGTCGACCTGAACGCCGGCACGGTTCGCCGCCCCGCCGCCGCCGCGTTCGGATGGGAAGGAGACGAAGCGCAAGAACACACGGTGTCGCGGGAATACGACAATCCCCAACACGCTACGCAGACTTGGAAGTTTCTGCCCATATTTTCGCAGCTCGCTTTGGAAAGCCATGGGCCGTCACCCCCGGACTGGAGCGAGGCGAATTCGGACACTTCGCACAGTCGATCCGAGTCAGTCGATAGCCTAATCGACTTGGACGTGGGTGCCGCACCGCCAAGTGACTTTGCCCTTCGTTGCCATGTCGAGCCACAACTTACACCAGCACCGCCGCTCCCTTTTGCGCCGCAGCCGCAGGTCATGATGGGTCAGGCGGGAGATGAGCAGATTAAGCAAGAGCTGCATAGATTGACAGCTAGTTTGGCTGACCACCTGCGCTACGCCACCATTTGTCTCGCCGATTTGCCGATTCGCCCCATACCAGCAACTCCATCAGGAAATCAGACCTAGGTGAGGCTGCAGGTCAGCCCATCAGCCCATTTAAAAGAAAAAGAGAGATTCACAGCATTGTAGATACGGTTTGGTAATTGACGTTATTATTCTTTTATAGCTGTGCCGGTACATAAAACATTACTCAGTCAGACGCGACACGACGTATACAATCTAACCTGTAGGAACGCAACGCGCCGTGCAAATGGACTCGCAAGTTGTATCGTTTCTACGCAGAGAGCTTCTCCTTGAGGGTCTTCTTGAGGGTCTCGGCGTCGGCAGCAAATTTGCTGATACCCTCACGGAGCTTCTCGACGGCCATCTGCTCCTCGTTGAAAGCGAAGCGGAAGGCAGGCTCGTCATTAATGTATGATTTGCGCTCAATGTTCTTGGAAGCGGAGGCAGAGGCATCGAGCTTCTTAGGAACGGCATCGGAGCCGTTTAGCAGCTCCTCGAGTAGAGCAGGCTGTTGATGGTTAGTAGCTGTTATGCGAAGTGAAATAAACTGTACGTACAGAGATGGTCAGGTAGTCACAGCCAGCAAGCTCAGTGATCTCACCAATGTTGCGGAAAGAGGCGCCCATGACAATGGTCTTGTAATCATACTTCTTGTAGTAGTCGAAAATGGCCTTGACTGAGGTCACGCCAGGGTCGTTCTCCTTGCTGTACTCCTGCTTGGTGGCAGCCTTGTACCAGTCGAGGATACGGCCGACGAAGGGGGAAATGAGGAAGGCGTTGGCCTCGGCGGCAGCGATAGCCTGGGGAAGCGAGAACATGAGAGTCAAGTTGCAGTTGATCTGGTGGTCGCGCTGAAGGATCTCGGCGGCCTTGATACCCTCCCATGTGGAGGCAATCTTGATGAGGACGCGGTCCTTGGAGATGCCCTGCTGCTTGTAGAGCTGTTTATGACGGTCAGCATATGGAATTTGGATCTAGTGAAAGGTGAGCAGCTCACGTCGATGATTTGGAGAGCCTTGTCGACGGAGCCCTTGGTGTCGAAAGAAAGCTTGGCATCGACCTCGGTAGAAACGCGGCCGGGAATGATTTCGAGAATCTTCTGGCCAAACTCGACCAGGAGACGGTCGAGGGCGTTGTCGACCTGGGCGTCGACATCGCCACCCTTCTTCTTAGCCCAGGCAACCGCATCGTCAATCAGCTTCGCATATTCGGTCTTCTTGGAAGCGGCGAGGATAAGCGAAGGGTTGGTGGTGGCATCCTGGGGCTTGTACTTGTCAATGGCTGCGAAATGGTCAGTGTCTGTTTGTTGACAACATCGGCAGGCGGGAAGCTGCGGCGACGGAAGCGAGGGAGAATATGTCTCAAATCGGCCGCAGCGGCGTGTGTAAAGACGGGAGGGGGTAACTAACTGGCAAAGTCGCCTAGAAGAGAGAGAATGATGTTAGTAAAAGATAAATTGTAGCTTGCGAAAGCTGCGGGAATTTACCAGAATCACAGACGACAACCTAGAGAAATGGGGTCAGCGATTTCGGACGAAGCGGTAAGGCATGGAGTTGGGACAAAAGACAAGTAGTCATTCATTGGTAGAAAAGTAGCCCATCAACTTCTTCTCAAGAAAAATCATGTCGTTCCCCAACGCGGGCCGTCTGGCCAGTCTAGCGGCCGTTGAGTCGCGAAGTGATGTGGCGGCGACGAGGGGCAACGACATGATGGCGGGGTAGATGCGCGAGGAATGAGTAAGTACTTACAGTGCCGGTGGCCTTGAGCTGCTCGAGAGAGTTGGACATTGTGAATGGAATTTAGGATATCGAAGAGGGAAGACGAATGTTTGGTCAATAGATTGTGATGGGGAAAGGAAGTGAGGCAAGATAGTTGAAGACGGGAAGAGAAGGATAAAAAGGTAGGGCAGGCCTGATGACGGAGTGCTTATGATATAATGCCAAAGCCAAAGTGCAACTGCGAGAAATTTTTGGGCCTGCTATAAAGCGCTGTAGCTAATGACGCTGGCGGCTGGAGTGCTTCACTAGTGGGGGTTCTTGCAGTGGCAAAGTGGCAAGTTTCATAGTTTGGTTGGTCGGCAATGTTTGGGTGGTTTGGGCAGAGGGGCTTTGGTGGGGTTCTGTGGTGCAGATGCACCGCTGTGGACGCTGCTACAGTTTGCTTCGGCCTTTGACTATTGTCAAGAACAGATTCATGATAGTATAAGGCGCAAGGAATCAGCGCAATTTTTTTGTTCATTTTTACAAAGGAGCAAGCACAGAAACTGCTTTCCCAGTACAAGAAGCCCCTCCCAAACAGGCACCAGGGTCTTCGATACTTGATACCCTGAATCCACTAAACTAGCACCAAACGGTGCTGCGTGAATATTCATGTCATTTTTAGAGGCCAAGATCATACTTAAAAGGCCTGAAAATTGACATCTAAAACCTGTAAATTGGAGAAATCATAAAACACACTGCACAGTTATATGATTACTTCGCTCTGGAGTCCTTTTCATGAGCTGTGATGCAATTTCACCCATTCACCTGAGCGCCGCGATGTCCATCCTTGCTCTCCGATACCCGGGTGTGCCGGGCGGCCGGAATTAGCATTTTCAAACACGCAGGTAAGGCGAAGAGTTCCCAGCAGTCATTCGCTCATGTAGATTCTCCACAAATCAGTGCCTCCAGTGGTCGTGGACCACCCACTCATGGCAACTCCGGCACCTCCAACACGGCCATTCCGCGTCCGCGCCGATCACCAAGGTGATGCTTCGGTCGCACCTCCGCGGGCGTCCTAATTTATTACCGAGACAGGGAAAAGTGCGGCGATCGGACCGTTTATCAGTTACAAGTTGCTTTGTCATTGATTTTCTTATAATTTCGCAATCTGCTACCTGGCTTGGCCTCGTGACACGACCCCGTTCGAGTGAAAATCATGCGCATCAAAGTAGAGCAATGCCACTTGATTAATGCCACCATCTACAGCTCCGACTTCTCCGTCGCCTTGTCGGCGGCCGCACGCAGATTCGGCGCCGTATCGTTTGTCAGCGACGTGTTGTGCGCCTCAAGATCGGCTGCCCACAAAGCCGCGCCCACTGAATTTTGTCAGCGTCATCACCTGCAGTTGCCTCTACGACGCTACTTACCTGTGTTTGTGTACGTGAAGAGCATGCTTGCGATGGGAATCATTTCCAAGGCAGTAGCGACGAGTCCGAACCTTGACGACGTTAGAAAGGCTGATGCGCCTCGGGCATCACGCGCACTCACGATGTGTAGGCCCCGACATGGGTATTGACCCATTTGGACTTTTGCGCATCGGACCAGTTCTTCAACTGAAAGTACTAGTTACACAGTCGTTAGTACACCAGCTGCTGATTACAAGAATGCTGCCTTCTTACTCTCTCGTGAACCGATCGTCCGCGATTGCGACCTGTCCTCGTGATTAACCACGGCTCTTGTTCGCATTGCATTCGCTTGACTCACCTTGGAAAAAGACAAACGCCACGGTTCCCACAAGCGGGATCGCGTTAAGCGGTAGGTACAGCAGGTACCGGATGATGGCCTTTGGGCTAAAGCGCTCAAAAGGGCTGCGCAGGACCTTGCCCAGGCGCTGCATCGGGTCGCGGCCAGCCTTGAGCTCGCGGCCTTCGCTGACGACGGTCGTCGCGTTGCGCGACACGAGCGTACCATCAAACGTGTCGAGGATGGCATCCTGCAACAGCCATCCGCGCGACACGGTGTTGATGATGGCCGAGCTCTCGCTCAGCACTAGCAGCACCGTCGACACCACCGCAAACGGCCCGTTGACGAAGACGAGCACCGCCAGCTGCGGCAGGTACGTAAACGCAAACATGGATCCGACGACGCCAACCGACAGCACCAGGATGGGGCCGAGGCGCGAGAGGAACGGCTTCCACAGCGATCGGTGCGTGATGAAGTAGACGATACCCTTTGTAGGAGTGTAAACCGGTGATTAGCGATCCAATGTTTTCGCGGCGCGCCGAGGAGCATGATCCCGTTTACCTTGAGCGGATACAGATATGCGCGGCTCTTCATGGCCTCGAGCGCAACCTTGCGCACGTTGCCAAAGTCCTCCTTACTACGCGTTGGGGATATTGTTAGCAGCCTTTACCAGCGCAAAGATGCGACGAGAATATAGTTCTCACATTATTTCACCAGCTTTTTCACCGACAACGCCTACTGTGCGCGCGCCGCGCGACGTGGGCTGCTTTTTGTCGCCGCCGCTGGCGACGGCGTCCGAGGAAGAGGCGTGTGAACTCATTTGCTAGTCGCAGGGAAAGTTGTATGGCTCGATCGATCGGGTAGCGCGTGTATTGTGGGAACAACGATGCGACAACTGTCCTTTGTTCAATTGATGGATCGATTGCTGAGGGGATTTTGAAACGGAGGGAAGCACTTTTACCAATTTTTGCAAAGAGGGAAAATACTTGGGTTTGCGGCATTCATAAGCTTGACCCAATCTGTGAGGTAGGGATGCCGTCATCGAAGCCCCATTGTGCGGCGGGCTAGACCGAGCTGAACCAGGCCTTGGCCTCGCTACTAGTTACCTGTTTATTGCTCCTTCTTTTCGCGTCACTGTGCGCCTTTGTCACGACCAATCATGGCGTTGTGCATGTACAGAGCTAACATTTCAAAACGTCCTGCTGGGTTTGACGCGCAGAGTTGATCTCATCGGCTACATGTCCTACCGAACACAGAGCTCTTGGCTTGCAGCAGTTCTTTCCTTAGGACGCCGAAAAGAATAGCCATGCCTTCATGAGCTCGCGTAGTGTTTCCAAGTCTTCTAGTTAACTTTCACTGAAGATACGATTCATTCGGTGGAGGACGCTGCATGTTCCAAAATACGTAGGCGCAACGCCACACTTCGTCGTTTCTGTTATTGTAACATATACCTGGTGAGTAGGTATTTTCGGTGGCCTGAGTACCAAAGATAAGAAGAACACGAAAGAAACTTGTAAACTGTTCCCGATGGCCATCCAACACCGCGCTTAGCAACTTGGGTGAAGCTTTATATAACTTGGCCAGACGAAACGAATCAAGGCTGCAGCTCTGGGACTAACGTCGTCATAATTCGCTTTCTAGGTGATCAGGCCTGCAGTAGATCTGCTCATTCTATCAGGCTGAATGAACGAGGGAACCCTCGGGCACCAAAGACGTTTCCAGTGCGAAAACAAAAGTTTAAAGTAAACCTGATAACGGTAGAAAGCCTTTAATCCTAGAAAATTCTAATACAGTAGTGAGAAATTCCTCAAAATCACGAGCCGGAAATCGAGGTAAAGGCGGCACCGCGGTGCGACTTGCGAATAGATGTAACATTGGTGAAGTCCTTGACAATGATTCGAGTCTTGCTCAGGGCGAAAGCAATCTCAGACATGAGTACGAAGAATGCATCTTGAGCCTCAGAGCGCGTATCAAATTCGAATCATATATCAATGCCTCTCCATCATCGTCGCTTGAACGGTCAATTGATGAGCGGTCATTGCATAGTAGAGCGCATTCGGCAAAGCCAAAGCGAAACAAGCTCAGATTGTTATGGGTGCTATTTCAAAGAGGTTCATGGCACGTAGTGACATGCGTGACATACTGCTGTGTTACAGAGTATGCTATAATCGGCAGAGTGAACACCAGCATACCAATCGTCTTGCCCCTTTGCAGTCCAACCCAACCCAACCAAACCAAACGCCAAGAACCAACGCCAAGAACCAACGCCAAGAATCAGCACCATACGTTTCATAACTCAAAAGGTCATTATTCATTATCATGGCACTTGAAAAACTCCTGTGCTGTTAGGCTTATACCTCCACCCTGTCCATAGGCTGCCTCCGAGGCTCCTTGTTAATCGACCCTTCGTCCAAACCGGCTGTCTCGATGACTCGCAGCTCATAACAGCTGTTTCGGGATTCTGTACGCGTGGGATTATCAACAGAGTACGCAGACCTCGTCTTGAGCATGCCCTCTCCGTCAGACTCGTCATGCAGCCTGTAGAATGCACTGCGGCCGGGATTGTTGTCTGACGAGTCATGCTGCGTCATGACGGATACGTGTGGTTTCCTGCTGCTGAGTTTTGAGATCGTTTCGATCGTGACATCGAGTGGTGCGGAGGAAGTCGAGCGCGCGAAGCGAATATTGATGCCCAGCTTGCTGGCGGCGGCATTGAGTATTGGCCGCAGCGTGGGTAGACAGGCGGAAATGATACCGGCGCACATTTCAACATCGGACCAAACTAGCAGTGGGGCCAGAGAATAGGGAATATCGTTTTTGTCGTAGTTGAACAGAACCCAAGTTCGATATGAAGATGTGAAGACGGCACTGTAAGATAATTAGAGGATAATAGTGGCCATGTACAGGGGAGAAACGTACAAGAATCCGAGGCCGAACACCATCGTCAGGCCAATCTTTTCGCTCCTTTTCAAATGCAATCTCCAAATTTGAGGGATGGGCAGGATCAGAATCAGAATGTCGCTGAAAATCGTGCTGCTAGCATTTGCCAGCCAAACGCCGACCTCGTTGACGCATGTGCCGGGCATTTCGGGGATCCAAAGTCTCTCAATGGGTTTGCAGATAAAGGTAAAAAGAAAGGAAATTGAAATGGCCCAGCATACGACAAAGGTACCGACAGTAATGACTTGCTTTTTGAAACCGGGCAGGCGAAAGATCCGGTAATACATCATTAACAGGCTGAGCTTAGTCCAGCACAGATTCCAGATATAAATGACTTCGGTGATGAGGAGCCATTTGGAGATGTTGTGAACCGCGTGCTTCGAGAGGCTATTCACGTGGTAGCCAACGCCCTCAATATACATGGCGAATCCTATCCCGAGAACCACCCAATTCCACATCTAGCTAATTAGCACACTCGCCGTGGCTTCGTCACGTTATACTTACCATGGAGAACATGATTAAATAGTCATCCCACCACAATTTTTGCTTTCTAATCCGCCTACTAATCAGGCGAAGAAACACGGACGTCACGGCAAGCGTTGTCACGCATGATGTTGATAGAATAATCCACACTCTCATCGCGCGGGGCTCGTAATGTGGCACGCCAGGCACCTTATATCACGTGAGATTGGCCACCATTGCAACGACTGGCGAGGGCTAGCCTCGGAAGAGTCGAAATCGGGCAAATATGACGCAAAGCAAGAGCTGAAGAGTAAGCAAGTGTTTTCGGATTAATGGACAAGGTCCAACGGTCTTGCATCCGCATGGTCAAATGAGAGAACGGATGGTAGATGAGACATGGCGACATACATAACATATTTAACTGGCATGACTGGGGTGCACTGTAGGTACAATGACCAGAGACAACAGACCAAAGCGCGGCAATGCCAGAAACTACCTAGGGTCGGCGCAGACGACAAGGATGGTTAAAAGAGGAATATCAGGCTGCCGGGGCCACATATGGTGGCGCTGCCATCTCGGCGGTTTTGATGCGCCAGTTGAAGATGCGTCAACTGTAGATGCAGCAGGTCTAATGCTTAGTGGTCAACAGAAAACTACCTAGTGTCGTATTAACTAGCAAAACGCGTTGGTGGGCCAGACGCAGCTCATCTGCGTCGTGCCTTGTCGCAGTATTTGGTCCCCCGCTTGGCCAGGATGGGAAGCTGTCTGTCAGGGCGATCCGTTCATTGAATCTACTGTGGTTGTGTACCTCGTACCACATTGTGCAATTGAACGATTCAGGCGAGGTCATGGCCGAGAAATGTTGGTGATGCAAACCTAGCAGTAGCCGCCGAAATGTTTGATGGTCTCTGACTGGCAGCTGGCAGCTGGTAAGCGATTGTCTACCAGCTGGCCCGCGAAAAAGTGCAAACGGACACAAAATCCAACTCGAGCCACGCCACAACCACCACTATCACCAGGTTCATGACGGCGGCAGACCATCAACAAGACTCGATGTCGTACGACTTCGACGCTACGGATTACCCTCTGTCGAAATACTCATCGCCGAAGGGGCTACCAGAGAGCCTCGTCCAATTCTTGGGACAAACAAGGTGTTGGGGCTGCATGCTGTCTTGTTTCGCCTCGTCCGCTTTTAAGCGCTCTTGCTAGTTACTGACAAAATTGAACACACTTCTGCGACATAGCAAGGAAGCCATGGTGCGGTTCGTACAGTCGACGAACGATGGCCTGAAAATCTCTTCTTTGCGCTTCCACTTCGCGTATCGCTCCCCTTGGCCTGTAGGTAAGTGCCTTTGTCCGCTTGATCAGTGCGTTTCGCATAAGTGTCCAGTTACAAACATAACTTAAATTTCTTCGACCAGACCCGATGCCCAATTCGCCCTAGCACACGGGATCGTCCATGCGCGCGATCTACACAAGTCCAATGTGTCAGGCCTGCAAAGCGTGGGCTTGCATCGAGACTCTGTGTCGCACCAAAGTAGGGGAAATGGGATGTAGCGCCGGGCCGGCGATTTGACAGCTAATCAGGTAGGAGCAGACTGCAAGCCCTTTTCGGCGCGCCCTGGCCGCTTGGAGTTGCCACACACCGACAGACAGCTGAAAGTAGCCCGGCCATACTGCTCCAAGCAAGACTCCAGAACAATCATTATCGGCCCGCTTTTGCCCGCGTTCATCTTGAAACGACAATATTGGTTTCTGGCAGAAGTTGCCGACAGCTGCCCAGGCCCACCACATCTGCGCTTTTTGATTGATCAATCAAAGATCAAAGAAGATCACCGCAGTCATTTCATTCCGCAAGCCCGGTTTCACATGTCATTGCTTTGGTAAAAGCTCGCGACACCAACTCTGGTCTTTCGCCACTGGCCGTGTCCGGGGAAGTGGGCGGCTCAATATCTCTAGAGACAGAGAACGTACAGGTTTGAGCAACGGCGGAACGACATAAAACTACATGTGAAAAATAACACTTCTTGCAACGCAACACCTCGCTGCATACCTCAAGCAGGGCCTAAACCTTGTTTGCAGCTGCAATGACACAACCAAATCTGACGCCCGTTCATCATGGCCTTGCGGAGAAGCTGCGGCTGTCTATGTTAACAAGTCTGCCGCTGGTCGCACCAACCCCCCTGTATGAAATGTGGTGCCTTGTGATACTTCCTCAACCCAAGCTCGCCGACCTGCAGATGGCCAATGCTTTTGCCATCCGACCCGAATCTGCCACGACGCTTGACACCGTTGTGACCGCACCATCGTTAGCAACTTCGGATTGATTCCTCTGGCGGTTCGAGCCTACTTGAAGCTAACACATTGAGCGTTTCTTTGGTGCTTCTCTCCGAGGATTTGCGCAGTTCAGTCACTAGGTCCTTGACGAAATGCCATCCCCGCACGTTGACCGAACGCGAACTCCATGAAGCGCCGCGAGGCTTGCATTAGTCAACTATTCACAGAAGGACTGGAGTGTCAGGCACCCACATAGGCGCACCATAGGCACCCTTAGTGGGCACCCACATCTTCCACAATACATCACACACTCATCTACATCACATGGAGCCAGCCTCTTTTGTTCTCTCGGGCGTCTGTCCATGGTCTTCTGAGTCGTATCGAGCCGGCAATTACTTTAAACCTGACATACTTCAGACCAAAGATTGAACCCACGTGTCGTCGTGTACTAGTATATGCTCATAGTGGCTTACTGCGTTCCTTGCAGCGTATTCCGCAACTTTGTGGGTGTGCTCAGCGGGAGGGCGGGGGCTAGGTATAGCAGCACCCCGTATCGAGTATTATTGGTAGTCGTCGAAAAGTTGTAGTGACGGGGGAAAAGACGACATGGCATGCAATAAATGCGCTCGGACCTTGTCTCGTACATTGCTTCATGCATATTGCTATTGCAGGAAGACTGGACGCCTGTCGTCATCTGGAACATTGCAGCCGGGCTGTGATTCATGACTGCTCCGCATAGAGTATTATCAAGCAGCTGCATTTATCCAAACGGAGGTCGTTAGGCAGCGCGTTATTCCCATAGTCGATGCATGCGGACTCTATTGAAAGTTCATGTGGACTTTTTTCCCTCTGACCTCGCTGTACAGGCAAACCTAGTCAGTGTGTAACGACGGTTCAATATGCTTATCTGTGACAACTCGTTGTCGCCATGTGCTTGCATATTTCGTCAATTCGTTAGCTTCTAATACATCAATATTCTATAATGGAAAGCCCCATACGTCTTCCCATCAGCCTCCCGTGGGTTTATCCCTCACTTCTTTGATTTGTTCAGACGGCGACGCTAAATCTCAAAAGGTTTAGAATGCAATCCCGAGCCCCAGCATAAACACTTTTAATACCCTCGAGGTGTAAGGCCTTCGATGCATTTTCTGTCCATCTCTTTTCTTTCGTAATAGGAAGCTCTTCTTTTTTTTTTGTGGCGTGCTGGATAGTTTAGTCCTCAGTCAGGTCACCATACTCCCACTGGCCCTGACGCTCGGCCTTGGCCTGAGTCTCCGTCTGGCGGAGGTGCTTCAGGACGGGCTCGAAAGGCTTGCTGCGCTCCCACGCCTTGAGCTTCTTTGGGACCATGCCGAAGCCCGCGGCGACAATGTCGTTGTTGACCGACTCGTTGGGGCCGGGAAGGCCGCCGTCCGTCTTCGGGTCGTAGAGCGTAACGTAGCTAATGTTCTCCTTGGTGTCGACGTAGTCAAAGCTGCCGACAAGGCGCTTGCCCTCGGTCAGGTCAGCGATGAAGGCGACAGCCTCGTCAAAGTAGTCTGCGCCAGTGGGTAGCTGCACAAAGGATAGCGAGGCGTCAGTGGCCTGAGGCTTGAGCTTCTGTGCACCAAATTGGCTCTGTTCGAGAGGGCGGAGGTTAGACCAAGCAACCTTCTCCGAGTTGCCGTAGTCGACGAACAGGACCTCGGCGACCTTGGCAGTGCGGTCGTTGGCGCGGACGCGGGCACGGTACCACTGGCCGTCGAGGGAGAACTTGGCCGAGACATAGTCACCGGTCTTGGGGGGATTGCCCAACGGCTTATTGTTCTTGGAATCGAGATGGAACTTGCGAAAGTCGCTCATCAGCAACTCAAGAGCAGCCGTGCCTTTGCCGATTTCTTGAATCTTGAGCCTGCCGTTACCATCAATGTTGGTAATGACAACATCGCGGTAATCAGTGGGACGCTTCTCCAGGGAAACCTCGGTCTCTTGTGTATCTGCGGGAGCCTCATCTTCCTCCTCCTCATCCTGGGAAGGGTCCCAGTCCTTCCAGAGATTCTTGCGACCTTCCTTGGCGCGCTTCTCAGCAGCAAACAGCTCGGTAGAATTGCCCGACTTTTGGGCTGAGTAGGCGTGCACCGTGGCGAGACCCTCCTCAACGAGGACCTTGGCAAAGTTTTCGCGGCCGATATACAGCTCACCAATGAAGCCGCCGACTTTGTCCATATCATGAATATTGACCTCGCAGTCGCGCTGGTTGCAGCGACGATTGGCGAGGTCGAGAGCCTCCTTGCCAAAGGGCTCGCCCCCCTCACCATCGGGGCGGGGGGCGCGGGGACCACGAATACCACCAAGAACAAGGGTCAACTTGACATTCTCACGAGGGATCAAGACAGTGAAGCGAGAACCGGCTTTGCAAAAGTCAACAATTGCAGGGACCTTCTTCTGGCGCTGAAGAGTGGCGAGCATGATCTTCGCTTTCTGTAGGTTGTCGGAAAGATCGAGGTACTGCTTAGCCTTTTGCGGCTTGCCTGACCACATACCCTTCTTTTCCTCTTTGGCCTTTTCCTGTGCAGCCAACAGCTCGTCGTAAATGGGCGAGCGGTCGGTATCGTCCTTGCGATGGCGAATAACGCTGGCCCAACCGGCCTCCACGAGCTCCAGGCCAATATTCTTACCCTTGTCTGTGATCGTGGCGACCTCCTTGGCCTCAAAGCCCTCAGTGGCAGGCTTGTTGCCGTCGATGCTAATCTTGACCTGCTTGCCGATAACTTTTTGCCTCAAAAACTCCTTGGCCTCGTCACGGAACGGGGCTTCCGAAGCCTCATTGGTACGGGGACCACGAACACTGCTGAAGCTTATGCGCTTCTCACCGCCGTTTTTGGTGCGCACGATGATGGTGTCGGCGGCAATCACCTTGAAGACGGCCATATCCTGGTTTCCGCCGTCAGCCTTGGCGACGTGGTTCTTGTGTAGACGAAGCTTCTGAGCCTGTGCTTGTCTCTCAGCAGCACGGAGCGGGGCCATCTTTTCGCCAAGCATGGTAGAGTGGAAATCATTGCATCGGGCGAGGCCCTCCTGAAGGAGAAATTCGGCGATGTTACCGCGGGGGTGGAGGACGTGGGCAACCAGCTGTCCCTGAGGACTAGCGCCCACAATTTCGACCTTGACAAGACGCTGCAGAAGCCTAGACTCAACAAAGGCCCTGGCCTCGTTACCATACTCTTCAGCGGGCTGTGTAGCTCCGGTCGAGGTCTGCACTCTTTCGGTGGCAGGGGCACGAACACCGGCGAGAAGGGTCATGGGCTGAACATGCTTCTTCTCAGATAGAAGCAGGCGCACAAGAAGTCTGTCACCACTGAGAACACGCTCAACAATACCATCAACGATCTTGCCCTTCCATTCCTTGATAAAGTCGGGGCTACCAAGGTCATTCTGCACCTCAATCATGCCACCAGTGCCAGCCCACAGACCCTTGGATTCAGCTTTTGCCTGAGATTCGAGAGCACGGAGAGTCTCGAGCTTACTTAGAATCTCCTCAGAGTCTTCTTTCTTGCCAGCATCCTCGCGAACCTTTAGCCAACCAGCCTTGACCAGCTCATCGGGAAGCTCAGTGCCATCCTTGAGCTTGACGGTGCCAAATTCTCGTCCAGAGTTGGGGATGGTATAATGAATGATAGCCTGCACGGGCTTGCCAACAACAAGATTGCGGAGGTACTCGCGGGATTGGAAGGCAAAGGGCTCGTCACCGTCGCGGCGCAGATGAGGAGCGGTGACGTAGGCAAGAGAAATGTTTCGTTCGGTGGCAGGGTTGTTCGGACTGGTCAAAACAAGAGTGTCGCCGCTAAGAACGCTTTTGACGTTGCCGATGAATGGCTTGGACATGATGAAAGAACCGGTAAGGATAGACGGGAGAGATCTATTGAGAGGCGGGTTTGGTCAGTATACACCACACGTTACGGAATTGGTAAGAAGTAGGCTATAGAGCTCGGCCACTAGTCGGTGCTTGGTAGTATTGACGGCCCATTCGTATGCGAAGCATCTTGTGCGTATCACAGACAGATGTTCTTTGCCCAGTGTTCATGGCGCCATCGGCTTTACACCGCCACCAAGCATCTCGACAAGCAGCCAGCAATCGCCAATATGTCGCCGCTGCGATTAAATTAACGTACCTAGCGGCAGGAGCCAAGGGAAAAAGCAAAGAGCAAACTGTGATAGAGAATTGAAGGGAAAAACGACCACCTTTCACACAAGTAGAGAGACTGTTGCAGAAGAGAAGAAGTCAGTAGAAATGGTTGGGCAATGGCCTGTCTTGACAGGGGAGCTTGGATGGAGACGCCCCGCAATCTGGCCTGTCGTGTGCTTCAGTGTGGTAAGGCAAGGTGGCCGCTCAATGGGCTCAATGAAACGTGCACTGCACGCTGTCCCGCCGCACCAGTCAGTTGCAGAAGACGATCTAGAAGAGTCATTACGTGGATCCTTCTTCTTCAGACATGACTTCTCAAACAAACAGAAAAAAAAGAAACAAAATCAAAATTATAAAGGTCATTCATCAGCGAGCCGCCTGACCCCGCGGGGCCTTCATCAAGGTGGAGTGGGGTTGCATCCCAGCCACAGCCGCCACAGTCCGGCGCAAGAATTCTGGTTCAAGTCTAACTACCTAAATATGAGAAGCACGGTCATATTCTCCAGAATAGCGACGAAAGCTTTCGTTGAATTAAAATACTCCCAAAGCCCAGGCCTGAAATCCGCGAGTGAGGCCCAAAGCCTGCGGATAAAAATGTGTTGGTTGCACTGACGATAATTATCGTGAAGGTCAAATGACTGTATTCGTGTTGTTGACACTTCCACAATACAACATCCTTACCTCTCTGCCTGACACTACCAGTCAGTGTGCGTAGAGGCAGCCACACACGAGAGCTATCATACAAATTAAAGTGGGACCTTTCTGGCTCCCAGCCAATGAGAATTGAGTGTCTCAATATGCACAACAAAATGGATTGTATTTTTAGTAAGAAATACAGTTCTTCCAATACTGTGGTTGGCCCAGTCCGGCGAACTGTGACTTACAGGGAGGATGGTGGGCGGCCGGTGATTGATGCAGCTCGGCGCGGAGCAAAAACTGCTGGCTCTTCGTTGTGCTCTGTGGAGCTATCTTTCATGGTATCAAGCGCTCTACCTGTTACCGGGCTCGTTTAATTGATATACGGCCATGATTGGCGTTTTAATGAAATGAGAAATGTTGGAGACGATCCTTGCTGTAGTTAGAGTCTATGACTATCGGTCCGTCGTAGTGCGTTTTTGTTTCTGGTTGCACTGATACGAGTAACTTTAAACATTTTATATTATATGACTTAGTTCTCCTCTATTATTTTTGTGTTTTTTTTTTTTCGCATTTTTTTTTTCGCATTTTTGTTGATTTTCCCTTGATCATAGTCACACTGTGTTTTTGACCTGGCAAGCGCCAGCGTCGACTCGCACGCACAACAGTTCAGCCCTAGGCTTTGCTCAAGGAAACTCCTCCAGCTGCGCACCCGGCGCGCTCGGATCTCCCTTGGCCTGCGCAAACCATAGACTGTTACTCTCCAGATCGAACACGGTGTAGACGTCGGTGAAGAAGCCGAAGCCAATGCTGTTGAGGTTGGTCGACGGGTCGACGGCGGAGACACCAACCTCGCACAGTCCAGCCCGCGTGAGCTCCGGATCAGCAATATCCTCGGAGACGCGGATCTTGTCAAGCGCCATCGTCGCCTTGACCTTGTCGTTGTTGAAGCCCAGAACCAACTTGTTGTCCGCGCTGAGCTTGTCGCACTCAACGGGGCCGAGGCCGTCTTCTTCGCTAAAATTGGCATCAAGGGCGCGGGCCATCTTGCGCAGCACGCCGGCGGGGAGCTGGAGGTCGACGCCGCCAGTGTCGAAGAGAGTAAAGGTCTCTTTTTTCTTGAGGCCGAGGTCGATGAGGCCGGGAGTGGTGGCATTGCCGCCGTTCTTATTCCCTCCGTTTTTGTTCCCTCCGTTTTTGTTCCCGCCGTTCTTGTTCCCCCCATTCTTGTTTCCTCCGTTCTTGTTTCCTCCGTTCCTGTTTCCTCCGTTCCTATTTCCACCGTTCTTTTTGCCATTGTTCTTGCCATTGTTCTTACCATTATTCTTACCATTGTTCTTGCCATTACCGTTGCCGCCATTGCCGCCATTGCCGCCATTGCCTCCATTGCCATTGCCATTGTCATTGTCATCGCCATCATCGTTATCATCATCATTGTTGTTGCCATTTTTGTAACCATTGCCATGACCCTCATTGTTTCTATTATTATTGCCCTTATTGTTACCATTGTTGTTGTTGTTGTTGTTGTTGTTGTTGTTGTCCTTGTTGTTATTGTCGCCATCGTAGTCGCCATTGTCATTGTCGTTATCGCCGTCATTACCGTCACCTTCGTCTGTATCATTATCAATGTTGTCGTTGTTATGGCCATTGCTTTTGCCATTGTTCAGCGCATTAACCTCCCCGTCATCTTCATCTTCCGCGCTCTGCGTGCTCACTCGGCCACCGCCGTAGGTTCCCTTGGCCTTGGTTCCGACTCTCTGTCTGATGGAGCGTCGGCGGACGCCGCGCCGAAGCAGACTCCTGTGCGCGCGCTTCTGGTTCTTGGTGAGCTTGGCCGTCTTGTTGCTGCTGCCGCCCATGTCCAGCTTCAAGGAGGTCATCTTGACCACATAGTCGGAGATCTTGCCGCTGTCGTCGCGGTCAATGGCAACCTTCTGCAGCTCGCCGCTGAACTTGGACCGATCGATACCGCCAAAGAAGACGCTTCCGTTGGCAAGTGCTGCATACATGTATTGTTAGTCTACTCTCCAAGACGAGATGAGTCGGGGAGAAGGCACTCACGCGTCGGGTTCATGACGACACTGTAGGAATTGCCCTTGACGACGCCCGCGTTTTTCATAATTTGGGGCAGGTTGTCGTACTTTTGATCCGTCGCTTCTGCCTCACGCGGGCCAGTGCCAAAGATGGAGAACTGCGGAAAGTCGCCCGAGGGTTGACCGCCCGACGCCAGCGCCACCTGGGCGCCGGGAATCTCGCCCCCGCCATCGTCGCCAACGCTGATGGTAGTCTCGATGTACTCGCCGTTGAACTCGTCGCCGCCGCTGAATCCAGCATCAAACGTTTCGCCTTTGAGCTCCTTGACGTCGGAAGCCACCTCCGGGTCGAACTCGCCGAGGACGACAGGCGCCGGCTCCGTGCACTGCTGGTTGTTAACCTGGCACAGTTCAGAGCCCGCTTTTGGGATGATGGTGTCGGAAGAGCCCGTGTCGAATATGCCGACAATTTCCTGCGGGGGTGTGCCGAAGCCCAGGGAGAGCAGAGGCTGCCACGGGCCGGCAGCGTCGCTTTGGAAGTGCTGCACGCTGCCCTGCAGAACGCGCTGCGCAACAACAACGTCGCTGGCCAGAAGCAGCGACAGATATTGCCAGTCGTGTCTCATTATGTCGATGCTATCAAAGCTTTCGAGTTCAGAGTTGTAAGTCGGTTATTTTGTTAAGGCTATTAGTTCTGTCATCGAAAGCTTCTCGAATAATGAGGTGGAATGCGAGTCTATATATACAGTATCTGACGATGATGCACGGGATCCATTCATCATTGAAAGCTCGAGAGCTTTGACAGCGGGCAGACTGAGAGTTGCGCTCGATTCCGCGCATCTAACAACGGCAACTCGGGGACCATTGCTACGAACTCGCGAGAGGAGACCAGGGGACGTAGGACGGTTTCATTTGCAACAACGGTACAGAATGCGACGAGTGCGAATATGTCTTGTTTGCTTCTGACTCGAAGGCGTGAAACCTCAGAGGAACCCGGGATTGAAACCCGCGCCGAGGGCAAAGTCGTGGCGCCGAATCGCATGGCGCGCGATGCTGCTGCGCCATTGATCAGATCTATGCAGCGCATCGGTCTTGATTGTAATGTGTAAGGCTGATCCTTCTGTAGCTACTTCGAAACTCTGTAATGCCTTGAGCTGATGTTGATGCTCTGACTCTGACGATAGCCGCGCAGGGAGCAGTATCATTGGTGGACTTGTCAAATGTGGGAGGATTCTGAGACGGTGTGGCGGGTGAAGTGTCACGAGAAGATGGAACCGTCAAAACACTTATGCGAGGGGCTTTCGTGTTCGGCTCAGCGAGAGAACCAGAAAAATGACTTGCTTCTCTTTCGATCCAAGAGGTCATAACCGCACTGCTGCCCTCTCTTCTTGTACGGAGAAGCCGTTATAGTTGTCTGCCTTGAAAAGCCGCGTACACCCGTGCGTGCTTTGTTGGTGGGGAAGTAAACACTGTGGCGCGTGAGCCGCGTGCCACTGCGGCCGCCAGCAAAAGAATTCATGACAGCCAAGTTTTCCACAGCACGTTTCATCTTTAGCTAGGTAGAAGAGTCTGGAAGATAAAATAAAGATGCTAAAAAAAAAGATCAGCCCGACAAGTAGAAAAATATGTTCCATGGACGGTGGTTGTGGAGTGCAAAGGACCAAAGCCAGGCTGCCAAGGCCGGGTGAGCAACTTTCCGGCCCGGAGGCATAGTGTCGGTTTGAGACTTGCGTTGCTTCCTTACAATGATGTGTTACGCGGCTTCCGAAAAGTTTGGTGTTTTGGGAAACAGTCTAGCTCATAGTCTAGCTCATAATTTCCGAGCTATATGTAAAATTGAGCGTCTAAGTGCGCCGAGACGGAAAAAAGTAAACGACTGCAGCACAGATGATACTATCAAGCGAAGCAGTGATGACGTGATTTTTCGTTGGATGAAATTATCTCTACCTAACATCAAGCTACAAAGCTCCAAGTCCGGATCCGGACCCGTATTTTGAGCTACATAATTTTGTATCAATCAGTTGTCATACCAGATTTTCGTTTTTTCGGAGTTGCGCATCCTAGTTGGCAACGCCAATGACACCTGATAAACGGTTAGTATTCACGCAATGTCTGTTGCCAGATGTAAGTCTTACCGCAGGCCGGGCGAGGTCCAGCGTTGCCAGTCTTGAGGGACTCTTCGTTGCCGCCCTTGCCGAGGTCGTCGGTGCCAGCGTGGACAACGACGGTACGCTAAACACATGTTAGCAAAGGCAACGAGACTCGAATTACCAGGGATGCACGTACGCCAACAACGCTGTGAGGGCCAATCAGCTTGACGTGGCTGTCCTGAACGGAGCCCTTGGCGTTGCCCTGGGCGTCCGTCTTAATGTTGCCGAGATCACCAACGTGGCGGACGGCGTCAGAGGGAGCGCCGTGGGTCTTGCCGTGCGGGTTGAAGTGAGGGCCAGCCGAGGTGCAGCCGTTGGTGTTGTCACCAAAGGTGTGGATGTGGAAGCCGCGCTCCGCGTTGGGGTCGTTGCCCGAGATGTCCCAGGTGATGGTGGTGGCAGCCGACTCGGACTCTTGCTCAAAGGTGACAGTACCGGCAACCTTGGCGTCGCCACGAAGGACACAGACTAGAACCAGACGGAACGGCAGAGGTTAGCTCGGAGCTTGTTGGCAGTTTTTTTTTTTCCTTTTTTGGGTAATAATGAGTAAACAGCTGCTGAGACAATGCAGATGCGGTGCCATCAAGGCCCTTGATCAAAGGTGCAGCGCGGCCCAGTCCATCAAGGTATCGAATGAGCCATGATGCAACCGGGCGGGCTAAAAACCAGCGCAAACCAGCGCGTTCACACGCAGCCGCCACGACCTATAAATGTCCCGGGTGCCACCCTAGCAGTTCTGCCACTAGCATCATCTGGGGACAGGTATATCGCGATGCGGTGATGGTATTCTCGATCGATTCTTACCTGCTTTGACCATTTTGATTGATTTTGTTTGTTTTGCTTTTGAGTTGGGATGGTGATGATTCGAAGTGGAGGAGGTGATGATGCAGTGGAGGGGGAGGGGAAGAGGGGAGCTTAATAAAGCTGTCTGGTCGTGGGCGGCTTTTCTTCTGCCCGACGAAAACGCTCAGCCAGACGCTGGCCGGTCCTGGAAAAGCTACGGCTCCGTTGGAGGGGCCAAGCTTTGCAATAAAAAAAGCGCTACGAACCAAGCTCTTTCCCCTCCTTGCAGCTACTGGATCAAGCTGTGCCGCCCAGTCAACATGACGGAGACGGAGCTTCTGGCTAGCCGTCACCGAGGCTTAGCTCCGAGGCGAGGGGCAGCTTTGCTTGGAAACCACCGTCATGGACGTGGGAGCTTGGAGAGCTTTGGGCTCCACCATAAGAAAAGCTGTTAGCTCCAGAAGCATGCAATGACGGCTCGACAACAAGACACCCATACGCTTTAATACCGCCCATTCCGTTAATATGTAGATTGATAAGAGATTCGCGAAGATCGGCCCGGCTTTGGGCCGGACCCTCAATATGGCCATGTGATATAAAAAAGATCGGCGCTATGCAATCGTAGTTGGCTGTAGTTTTTCTGTTGCTAGCAGTGCAACACGCGATGTGCGCATACAGACGCGGCCATTCTTCAGGTCTTCGCTAACCGCTCCAAAAATAATGTCTGCCCGCTCTACGTCACAAAAGCGTCAACGACCTCGAGAATATGACACCTACGAGCTTCGTCATGGCCTTTCACACATGGCGAACAAAGAGACGCAAAGGGACTTGATGCGCATTTCTCGCTGCCTAGAGTGATGCCCCCCCACACTTCGTCTACTTCCTGCAGCTATATCCTCACCTCACCAGGGAGTTCTGTCTCCCACGATATTTGCCTGTAGAAAGTCGCGTAGTTGTAGTCATCTGCCAGCCGATGGACCCGACAATACTCGTTCGGCGGCTCCTTATTTTGCGGCTGCCATATCAGTTCAGGTCCGGACAGCTACCCTTCGAGGAAAATGGAATGTCTTCATAATCTCATAACGCAATTACTCGGTCTATTTCTGTGAAATCAGTCGACCAACTTTGGCACCATCTGCCGGAATGCATTAAAAACCATTAAACCCAAACGCAACAGTTCTTCCATCTAAAAATACAAGTCTGGCGTGTTGTCTCCGTTGTCTCATGTACAAGTTTGCAGATCTCGCGACTTATATCTCAGCCCTCCGGATCAAATCTAGGCTCATATCGTCTCGCGGTATGAACCTGGCGTCGAAGCCGTCGGGCTGGCTCGTCAACCCATTCGTCAACGTCACCCTGGGCGTGACTTCATTGCCTTTATCATCGAGCGGCTTTTTTATATCCATTGTGCTCAGGATGCCGGCAATTACCATCCACACGCTCGCCTTGGCAAGGTGCTGGCCAACACAAACTCGCCGGCCGAAGCCAAAATGGCCATTCGGAAACGGCTCGCCGCGACCGCCCTCTTTCTCAGGTATGTACCTGTCAGGGTCGAACTCATCAGGGTCCAGATAAATATCGGGATCATGAGTCATAGCACGCGCGTTGGCATAGATGAATGAGCCAGCAGGGATAAAGTAGCCATTGTATATGTCATCTTTGATGGACCGATGAGGGACGCCGATGGGTGAGACAGGGCACCACCTGAGCGTCTCTTGTAATAAGTACTCGATGTATCGTAGTCCGGGGTGCTGCCTATCGTTGAAATTAGGCATCCTGTTGCGTCCGACAACGCGGTCCAGAGCTTGCTGCGCCTTGATTTGAATATCTTGGTGAAGAATCATGTTGATGACGAATACCATAATGGTTGCCCACGTCGTATCTTGTCCAGCGGCAAACACGGCACCAGCTGCACCTTTGACATCGTCCAACTCCAGCTCAGGCGTCTCCCCATTCTCAAGCTGTGCCTGTCGCTGATCCAGCATGCCTTGAATGATTGATTCCGTGCGCTGCTGGGTTGATACGGCCGCATCGAACGGCTTGTCGTGCAAGTTACGGATAGCCCAACTCCAATCGTTGGCAAACTTGAGCGACCTGTCGTGAAACCACCGCGGCATGTATCGGAGAAACGGGAAAAAGTCAACTGGCGTACCGGCCGGGGCACCCCCGTGGCCAAGCGCATAGCTAGCATCTGCAGCCACTTGGACAAACTGGTCTTGGTCGCTCTCAATGGTAATGCCAAATCCAATGCCGAGAACAATGGCAGTAGCCAGTCGACGAATAACATTTTCCCACTGTGCAGGGTTGACGGCCAAGCCCTTGAGCATGGTGACTGTTTCTCGTTCTTGAATGTGCCTGTACTGCACGATACTGCTATTTGATAGGCTTTTCTGTAGAATGCGTCGATGTATTTTAAATTTGGAGCCCCATCGTAGAAATGTGAGCGTCTTTCCCCATCCCATGACTTCAAAGAGTACAAAACGAGGACGGTCCGAGTAGAAGTGACCTCGCTTATCCAGCAACTCAACAGCAGCTTTCACCGAATTTAGGACAATGACAGGCTGGCCGAGAATGTTGACGGAAAGTACATCGGAGCCATACTCGCGGGACCACTTCATGTAAGTGTACTCTGGGCTGTGGGAGGGTACAATGCGCAGGTGACCCAGGATAAGTTCTCCGGGAGGACCTGGAGGTAACGGCAGGCCCTTGGTGCGGCGTCGATTGCGGACATAATTGAGGAGACACAGCGCAATTAGTGTCACAAACAGTATAATGCCAAACGGCCGGATAGCAAAATTTGTGACACCCATCCCGCAATGGTGTTTGCCCGATGGGCTCTCGCCAACCGGCGGCTTTGCCGTCGGGGCCGGGGCTTGGCGACGAGCGCCGACACAATGTTTAATGCGATGCGTCAGGCAATGATTCGGGTGATGGCAGCAAAGCTCTCGGACAAGCTCCGTTGGTATCCGGGGACGATGCGATTCGAAGAACGTGGTGGATCTGTAACGTTAGGTAGGTAGGGGAACCTGGCGCAAGGGCAGATCGTGGCGGTCGGAACGAGTTGGCAAGGTGTGGGCGGATTATGGAGCACCAATCAACTGCTGGAGCTAGCCACCCAGCATAACGAAGGCTGGCTGCGGCGGGCGATGGAGCCTCCTGTGCGGCTGAGCCGTAGATGAAGAGCAGAGTGGAGGATGCAGTGAGCGTTCTTTGTGAAGGATGCGAGTGCTTGTCTCCTCGATGTTACTGGTAGATGGGTGGGGCTACTTTTCGCGGAGAAAAGAGGCTCAAGAGAGCGGCTCATGGGCAATACGAGTTTAGTATGTTTATAGTCCAGGGAAACGGCGGGCGAAACTGGGTGCGTAGATAACCAGAAACGAGCCTATGTATCTACATATATCATTCATACCTTTTCTTGGTGCTGTCTGACGAAGAAAGAGGCAAAAGAAAGAGGTGAAGGAGATTGTGACGCAAGCCGCATCAAATGTTTCGCATGACGAGAATAAGGCGTTTGCGTCTGGGACCTATGCATGCCTCTGGTGCAGCAGCATTTGTTTATCAGTGCAAGGTATGTTTGCATATTTCGGGCCGCGATGCCGCTGTTGGTAAACACGACAAGTCGGCAAAAGATTACGGCCATCACTCAGTAATTATAGTGTTTTCCACTCCGCCAGCGGTTGTCTGCCACGACACGCTGACTGGTTAGTGGTGCTGATTGTTCGCCTAGCATTGCCACAATCAGATGCACTCCATCTCCTGTAACTATGTGCAAAGTAACTAAGCAAGGTAAGAAACACCTATCTCCGCTGGGTTCAATACCTCGGGCGCCACAACCACAGCGATGGACAGAGCTAGAGATACACAAATTGATAGTGCGAGCTTGGCAGGCCTTCCTGGGTTATCTAATCATGAATTAAGCCAGCGCAGATAGTTTGAATATTTGAGAGCGAAGGTGGCAGCCCAGTCATGGCTTTGGACATAGCAGTCGTGGTTAGCCAACGCATGACAACAGAGACACACAGAAGAGGCTGCAGCAGGATGGGGTCGAGGTGCAAGTGATGCGATGCGATGCTCACCATGATCCCACCAATTTATTCGCATGAAAGTTTTCATGCGGTGTGTTTACTTCATAGTGTAACTAGTAAACACGGCAACTAGTCTATGAATTAGCTTAGAAATCCCATGTCATGAATTGCCTGCCGGAGGTCGGTGGCTTGAATCCTGTCCTTCTAGAGTTTCAACTCCATCAGCTTGGCTCCATCAGGCTGCAGCTGCAAGCGGCGAGTCGCGAGGAAACGAGCCGCAGACGAGGGAGAAGCGGCGGGAGGGTTGTAGTGCTCCGCGCCGTCGGTTTCCTAGTTAGTGCTGGGTGAAATCATTGCTGTGATTCACTAATTAATGCATCGATGGTTCGGAATTACGGGAATCAGCAGGGCCCTTGAGCATGCTAGTTAGAGCGTCGGCTAGTTGAGAGAAGCTGACTAGACCAGGTGTCTCAGTAAACAGAGACTGGGCCGGCCCAGAGCAGAAAGAAGGTGCTTACTCGGCCTCAATATGACGAGCATTGTGATGGAACGAGCGCTGTTGTTTCCGCTGACCGACGCCAACAAAGCCAGCGCCATGCTCCCCACCGACAGCTGAAAAAAAAAAACACGGCAATTCCCAATTACCCGAACCTGTCCGAACTCGCTGTTCGTCAATGATCAGAAGGGTGCTAGTGAATTCAGTAGGCTGCTTTGGCTTCTCACATAGCGGTCCTATTTGTTCGGGCCGCTCGGCAGCTTTACATCAGCCGAGTCGCTACTATATATATTCGGTCATTAATACCAGTAGTAGTTGCACTAGTTATGTGCCAGTGCTTTGCCAGTCAAACAGCACACAGCCTTACAAAGTTCTAGTATTAATAAGTCTTTAGCCCTAGTAAATAAAGCTACTATAAAATATTATTAAAGAATATTTAAATAATAATAACAATACTCTAGGTTAAATGTTATTTTTTTACAAAATTTAATCTAGTATACTTAAATTTATATATATATCTAAAGTCGGCCACGGGTGTATAGGATAGCCCACCATCCTACGGGACGACCAATTAGATAGCTGACTTTCATGCTAGGCCCACTAAACAAAAGGAGTCTTTCCTTTCTTAGGCTAAGGCCGTCCCAGAAGGTGGTAGGCTATATACACTAGTGGCTGACTTTAGACTACCTTACTTACTATTAGTAGCACTGCTTTAGGTACATAAGGGCCGTAACTGTATCTATTAGTACCTACGCACCTCCGATAGTGGGTCATAAGTAATTCCGCTCGCGACCCTAAATCCTACTAAAATACTACCTTTAAACTACTAATACTATAAAAGCTAGTACCTATAATTATTTTTTAAAATTTTTAATTTGATTATTTAATACTTAAAAAGTAAGAATATATTTTTAGACATTATTAATAAAGTTTAATAAACTAATAATCTTTAAATAAAAACTTTTTAAAATATTTTATTAATAAAATCTACATTTTATATCTTTTTTAACTTTATAAGATATTATCTAATTAACCTTAATACTTAAAAAGTTCTTAAAAATTCTTGATTTATATATTACTAAATATTATATTTTTTAGTACTTAAGATAGAATTAAATTTAGCTACTAATATAGTAGAAATATTACTTAAAAAGTAGGTAATTTAGTGGGATTTGGGGTCGTGAGCGGAATTACTTGGATGCACTGTAGGTTGGTGCGTGGCGAGCGTAGTTAGTTGGCGCGGTCGGATCATGTTTTGGCATCGAGAGTCGAGTACGAATAAGTAGTCATCAGCTGAAACTATTCTCGATACTAGCTGCTGGATTGGAGAGGGCTTGCTTCTTGTTTTTTAAAGCCACTATTCTTCTTAATAATAACAAGGTTTTGTTTTTTAGCTTTGCGTTAAGGAAAATGATCATCCTCGGAGGATGATACCAATCAACTCCGCCGAATCTCCCAGCTCTACAGAGTAGGTAGTTGCCCATGATATGGTTCCGTCGCATGGTGAGTCAATAATTACGCCCCATACCATCAGCCCTGTGATCGTCGTCGCAAAAAAAAAAGGGTAGTTGCGTAATCGTAGGTCAACATGCAATATAGTTGGTCGAACCCCTTCGGAAGGCGAGGCTTATACTGGCGAGCTATCCCGATGGTGTTGAACTCTTGACGACTTCTCAGTTTGCAATTATAGAAGAAGAAGAAGAAGAAGAAAAAGGGACCCGGGGATGGTGGATACTGGAGCAAGATGGCTTTCGATAAGTTGCCACACTAGCCGAGGATGACGGCCAGGCGGGCGCGGCAAACTGGACGAGAATGCGTAGTGTGTGTATATGCTAGCCGACAGTCAAGGTTTTTTCTCACAGTTCTTCTGCCGCCACCTCACAAAGCTTCATCTTTCGCGTCCAAGACTTTTTGCATATAATTGCTTGCGACTTCATCATTCTCAAGGCTGACGACATCACCGCGTCTTCCTATCTATTATTTATCACACTACCATCTCCCGCACTTCACAATGCTTTGTCTTTCGCCTCTACGAATTCGCTTTTTACTCGCTTTCAAACTCGTCGCGCTATCAGGCTGACACCACCACCGTCCTCTAGTTTGGCACTTCCCTCTCGCGCACCTCAAAAAGCTTCATCGATCGCCTTTGAGATTTCACTTCTCCCTCGCTTTCACCTTCGGCGTTCTATTAGCTTGACGCTACAACCGCGTACTCTTATTTATCGCGCGTGCTAGAAGGGAGCATTCAGACTCACAAAAGCGCCTTTAATTACCCCCGGATTTTGATACGCAAGACTTTTCAACCCTGTCCACGTCACTTCTTCTAGCATCTCTTAGTTATTATCGTCGCAAAAAGAAAGAGCATCATGTCTATGGATTCGATAGGCCACCTAGGCATCCTCCGGGAAGAGAATATCACTCTTCAGCAGATTATAGGCTATAATACCGACTCATTAGAAGCGTCTCCTTATAAAATACCGCAAATAGGGCAATTCATTCCCGGCACATCTATCAAAGATATACTAGTCGTCGCCATTAACATTAACAATCCCCGTTACTGCTTGCCGCTCCAGGACCAGAGTTACCACATTAGCCTCTCAATACTGGATACACGCTGCTTAGCTAGCAGAATCGACGATGTCTCAAAGACAATAATGTAAACGACAATAGCAAATAATGCCGCACTACCAAGAAGCGATTCTTATTTAGAGAGACCGGAACCATACTGCTTTCCAAGTTGGCACCACGACTTACGGAGCTCGTAAAAGGTCGCGATTATGTTTTGGTTGGCCATGGCATAGATAAAGACATCAAGCTCCTGAATCAACTACACCCCGATATTGCAGGAAATTCTGCCTACTTATTCGACACTGTCAAAGCAGCACAGTTTCCCCTGCAGCTATACTACAGATACAGCCTTGGAAAACTGCTTGATGAGCTTGACTTAAACACGCAAATCTTCACGCAGCAGACAATGACGCACACTTTGCTCTCAAAGCTCTGCTTATGCTTGCTGTCCGCGATGCGCTACCAGGAAAGCATCGTGGAACTTGAGGCCATCAAGAAGAATTATTCTTGGCTCTTGAGATGCTTGCTCACGTCCCAGTACAACTCCCGGTTTGGACTGACGAGCCGCCACCATCAGAAACAGAAGAAGATGGGGGTGAAGGCAAAAGGGAGATTGAAGCGAGAAAGGAGAGCAACAAGACGGGCTTTTCAAAATCTGCCGCTTGCCGGGCTTGTCGCGAGTTTGGTGAAAGAGGCGCTTGTTTCAAGACTCGTTCAAGCC